ATCATGAGTACGCCCCAGGACGGTACGACCGTTAATGTCTTTTGCAACCAAGCCGTCGTTGACCGTTGCGGTGCAATCCTCAATCCAAACCTTACCATCAACATAATCGCCAAAACCCACAATGAGGTTGATACTGCCCACTAAGTTGTGGACATCTTTGTGTGGCTTCATTTTGGCGTTGCAGTTGAGGGCTAGGCTGGACCATCGCGTGTCATTATCACGCAAACGAAGACAGCAATTCAAGTAGCGAACGAACTCGCAATGACGTTCGGTGAGATTTGTAATTCCAGCAAAGGCCCCGTACGCATACACACCAAACGCAAAGGCTTCGCCATGCGGATCGGCTCCGGAAACAATGTCACGAAGCTCATGCTTAACAATCAAGGGTGTGGCGCGCGCAACTTTCCAGCAAGTATCCCAAGAGAAATCACCTTTCAACCGACATGCTTTGGCAAATGACTCGGCATCAGGTAGTGCCATTACCGTCGAGGGAAATGCTGGAGCGACAAATCGGGACAATTGCGGTGAACTCACCTGGACATCCAAGTTCGGACGATATGCTTTCAACTTCAACTCGGGTTGCCTACGCTGTCGGCCTGAAGACAACACCTGAATTGCACAATGAACTAAGTTACTCAACACTGCGCTCCAACGACAATCTTTCATTCTTCCTAGGCGCTTGGAGTCAACATGATCGGCACGCGTGGTGCATTCACAAAGCGCACTGGGGAAATGAAAGTTCGTCGCAAGCTGCACCACACTGTTGCACGGAACAAGCTTGGAATCTGAGGCACCAAGGGTTTCATATTTACACCAACTATGTTGGGAGATCGTTAACCAATTTATCAAACCCTTAATGCTTTGCATGTTCCAAACCTGACTTCGGGCATTTGCCTCTAATACAACCACACCCGCCAAGGACTGCTGGGCCTGAACGAGAGCACACAAGTGTAAAGTGCGCTGCGCGTCACATTTATTTCCGCTACCCGCTACAGGACCAGCCAATCTTACCCAGAGTAAACTCGGCCGTTGTTGTTGTATTAGCTGCAACAAATAGGATAAGTGACCTTTGCTATGCAAGTCGTGATGGAAATGTGATGTGGTGTAACCGTGTGTTTGCAACACGCTCTGGCGCTCAGCATTCTTGTCTGAAACAATCCAGGCGAGGGGCGCATCAGAGCTTCTTGCAAGTGTTTCGGCCTTAATCAAGCCTCCTCTGCACCCCTGTGTGCTGGCGATTTGCTGCGTGCAACCGATGTTTCACGGGAGCGCGCACGATCACGAACCGACATAGCAAAGTCCAACACATTGGATTCGCGGCTTTTGTCATTCGGCTGATTTCCGAAATCACGATCAATAGGCAAGATGAGGTGACCGGATGGAGAGAGTTCCAAATCGAACACACGAGTTCCGGGTGAACACTCGATTTTCAACCCACCGGCACCTGGCAAGTACAGCTTTTGGCCTTTTGTGTCCAACACCGCTGACACACGCCTCAGACTGCGCAAACCTAGCAAAGGCGGCAACGCAGAACCATGAATCACAGGTGCAGTAAAGCTTCCAGGCACGTCGCAACCATCAACATCACGCAATCGCAAAGTGACACGGCTTGCATACTCAGCGCTTTGGGAATTTTGCCCTACGCCTTCAACTTGCAAGCTTTTGGACATGCGAAGTTGCCGGTTCGGCGTGCCAACCTGTTCAGCCATCCGTTCTGCAGTCAGACCACCCACCAAATTATCATGAGCCCCGGGGTCAACCAACAATCCAACTCGGTTGCCTTCTAGGCGTGTACGCTGATGGTACAAACCGGCTACCTCTTGAGAGGAGCTGTAATCATCAGCATCGCCTTCCCACCACGCGTGATGCAACAAAGAGCTGAGTTCCAAGACAGAACGCTGACGATCAAGTTGATCTTCATTCGGTGCTCGCTCGTTTGGGGGTGGAAACCTTGGTGGCCTGTTGCCTGTACCTACTGCTTGAACGGCTGCGACACCTGATATGGCGCTTGAACTGCTTGCAGGCTCATCTTCTGGAGATGGTTCCGGGTTATGCTCGGTATCTGCATTCCAGTGTGGGGGCACATCTCGCGATGCCCTTGACCTTTGAGACCTTTGCGATTTCTGAGATCTGGTACTACTCACCTGGGAAGCAGTTTCCAACCTACGCATTTCCTCATCTATTCCCGAACCGTATCTGGACGGCGTGGCTACCGGGAATCCAATCTCGGATGGAACCTGAGAAGGTGCAGAAGAACCACTACCAGCTAAGTAATGAAATGCAACCCCGCTCATTTGACCTGGCATTCCTGCTGCATTGGCCGATGGCCACATTTCAACTGCAGATCGTTTGCCAGCATTGGTCATAAGAGCTAAGGCTGGGGATACGCTGGTTTGTTGTGCCCAATGTGTGCCTGATGCACTTGCTTGATTGCCTGACACGACCTGAGGGCATTTTCGCCACAAGTGCGATGTGGAACCACATTTTGCACACTTCATAATTTGTCCATCCTTACCGCGAGGATTCAATGCACCTGGACCTCGGCGAAAACCACCAGAATTACCTTTACCTTTTCCTCCCTTTCCGCCTGCAAAAGCCCCTTGCGGAAGGAAAGTTGAGTAAGTTCTGGCATACGGCCCTCTTTCCAGTTTTGATTGAAACCTTGGACCATGCTTGAAACCATACCGACGGTATCTACGAGGAGGTTTGCCAGAGTACCTACGCCAACGCCTGCGGGCCATCACATAATCCTGATACAGTGCGTTTGCCCTTGCATCATCATCATGGCGTGTTTGGCCATCGACTTCCACTGTGGCATACGATGCGGCATCAGCGTCATACGAACCTGTGTCGGACTCAGTTGCCGATGACATGTCATCATCCTCGAAATACAAACCACAGTAGGAACACTGACCTTCATCACCAATGCCCAAGCCTCCTGCCATTCTACCCATATCAGCATCAAAGCCTGTTGCATATGCGCCGTGTGCGCTGAATCCGGCCGTGCCCTCACGGGCGGCTGTATTTGGCGCGAAACCCGCACAGAAACTTCCACAGGCTGACGCGTTGGGATGATTGGCGGTTTCAAAGGTAGGGAAATAGGAGTAGACATTATGCTGGACATGGTAATTTCCTGGGTCTCCAACTCCTGCTTGCTGGTTTGGATGCCTGAGCCCGCCTTCAAACAAATGACCTTGTCGCCGAATGCGTTCAATTGATCCCAAAACCGCCCCGTTGTTGAGCACGAGCTCGCAGCACATCAAACCGCACAAGCAGTGCATCAACGCTCTCACCAGGAATCCGATCAAAGTTCATGAAATCACTGATGGCACGGGTGGATTGCTCCTGTTCCAGTGGCAGATACCGACGGGCTAGAGTTTGAACCAACATCATCAAACCCGTAACTTGATTGCCGTTTACCGGGTCTACACCACCATTTGCCAACTGATCAGGAGGGATTTCACGCACCAGTTCTTTTGCACTACCGGTTACCTGAAGCGCGGCGATAGGACCCATACGTTGAGGTTCAACGTCAGTGGCCGTTGACCACATAATGAGGTCACTAATCCAAGATCTCAGGGAGTAATGGTGGTTACGTTCTACACTCCATGCCGGAGGCACTTTAAGGGTAGCTCTGCCTAAGAATGGAGGTCCGGCATCGCCCACATGGGCGTGTTGCCGCGGTCCGTTGCCAAAACCTGTTGGTCTATGCGGTGCGCCTGGCATCATGTACGCGAGGTAAGAAAGAACCAGGGAAACCAGCAAAACCAATCCCAACCATTTATTGGCAATAAACCTTTGGACCCAACCCTGATGTGACTTGACCTTGGACTTAGCACTGGCGCGTGCTTGCAGTCGGCGCTCTTTGCGGGAAAGACGTTTGAGAGTATTAAGGTGCATATTCTTATCTTGCGCTCGTTTGAAAGGAGGCATTCGTGACTCAAAGTGCGAACGAGCTTGCTCACGAAAACGCCTCACCCGCTCACGCAACTGCTGTACATCATGCATCCTTCTTTTGTCCTGGGCTGAAGCCCGGATGGAATCATACATCACCAAACTCCTTCCTGCAAAGTCGTCGTTTTGGTCATCCTCCGGAAAACTCCGCAACTCACGTTTCACAGGAAGGCCATTCCCGTAATCAGAACCGTTTTCCAGAAGACGATCAATCTCACGTAGCATCTGCACAAGCTCTTGTTGATCATGAAGAAGCTGTGCAATCTCTTCTTTGGCAAATAGAGCAACATCAGATTCACGATGCATCGACAAGATGTTCATCATGTTTGTGTCATTAACGCTCGCGTTCGGGTCAAGCAAAGCAGAATCAATCCCATCAGGGATGTTGAATGCTTCTTTGGCTGCGTACGTCTCGTTTTTCAGCTTCATGTCGGAAATCGTCTTGGGCATTACGCTGCCAATGCCAGTAAACACAAGGGTGGTCAACATGGCAAGGCACGAGAGGAACATGAGCCCTGAACGAACACCCGACAGCTCCGCTACCAAGTTGAGAAACGAACGTCCCTCTGAAGCCCCTGGGCTCCACATGAAACTGTGTTCATGACGCATTGCACACTGACCCTTTTCACGTGCACTCATGCTCTCAGTCCGGCACTATACAACACCTTCGAGGTTACAAGTTAGACATGCAATGGTAAGCACTCGCGAGCTGCAGCATATCAGAACATACAACTCAAGTACGCGTCAGTAGGGCTTGCTACCTTTCAACTCCTTCAACCTGTGTCATAAACCTTCTAGCATAGCCAGGTCTAGCCTGCTACAACCAGCCTAATCTCTGAACCCCAGACCCTTAACCTTATTACAGTACAGCCTACCCTAAACACTAAGCCCCTAAACCCTAAACCCCAAACCTCTAAACCCTAAACCCCTAAACCCTAAACCCTAAACCCCTAAACCCTAAACCCCTAAACGCTAAACCCTAAACCCCTAAACCGCTAAACCTTAAACCCTAAAACCTACCACAGAGGCAACAGGGCTCTGAGGGCCTCCAGCAATATCAGCAGCGGCAGCGGGGGCACACGTAGACGCCTCATCAGCCGCCTCCATCGATGCAGGGAGGTTCTCTGCATTTAGGGCTCCTGTGAAGGGCTGCAGGGTCATAGTTTCGGGTTTAGGGTTTAGGGTTTAGGCAGAAAAATCGCTCTGAGCTCAAAGCCTGTGCACGTCCACACCCCACTCAGTCGGCTGATTGCCCACTTCACTCGGGACGGGACGGGTTTGGGGGATTAGGTTTTGGGGTAGTCGGGGTCTAGGGAGAAGACTGTAAGTTGCAGGCGGAACGATCAAACCAGCACCTGAGTAGGAGCAGAGCTAACCAGGCGGAGGAAGGATCAACCAGACAATAACGCATGAAGTTGACACATGTGGATAATTATTGGGCGCACTCGGTAACCTTGAAAGAGGCAGTTCATGGTACCCGCTGCAACGAACTTGCAGGAACAAGGAGCACGTCCCTAGTTGCTGAGCGCCCTTTCCTGGAACTGTGCACCGCGTATATCTGCTAGCTAGCTATTGTCGCCGAATTATGCGATCCAAACGAAGCTACCAACACGGTCATACAACAGCAGCTCAGCTTCTCAACTACACTGGAGCCTCTGCATCGTTCACCTCCTCGATCTTGGCATCTAGGCCTGTTCTCGGGTGCTTGGCTTCCGGACCCAGCATGGCAATGAGCGCTCCATCCTTTCAACGGTTAACCTAGGATAAGACAATGCTCTTGGTCTGTAAGACAGAACCTGTAAGAACAAAGCAACAGTGGAAGAGAGTATCAAAGATGGTGTTCAGGGCTGGAGGTCTTCCTTTGGGTTTAAGGTTTAGAGTTTAGCTGTACATGAAAGACGATACATAGGAATATGTCGTTGAGACAGACCCGCAGAAAGCAAAGCCTGACACAGCTGCTCATGCACATTCTCGATCTCGTTGAAACTACTGGTTCTTACAGTCTTATGGTGCCTACCTTACCATAAGTAGTGATGTATGTTTCCGGTTTAGGGCAACTTAAATCAAATTCTATAACAAGGAACCAACTCGTTTGAACGAGGCGACCCGTAATTTGACTCCCGGAGTCATGCTCCGTGCGTGCAGGCCATCCACAAGGCGTACAGGTTAAAGGTTCTGGGCGCAAGCTTCCGAAGTTCCTCCGGTAGCCCCTCAAAAAAAGAAAAACGCCTGTTCCAAAAGTTAAAATGGACGCAGACCCTCGAAAAATCGTAGCCAGGATATATGGGTACTACTGAAGGTAGTCAGGGTCTCAGAGTTTTGGCTCAAGGGTTCAAGGTGTCGGCGCTGGGGGTTTTGGCTTTCAGGTTAAGGGGCTGCAGCTTGGGATGCTAGGAGGAGGCCTATCAACCAGCAAAAACCCAAAAATCAATCCAAAGCCACTTACGCAAAGCCTCGCATCCTAAACACAAGTTCTACACTCCAGACCAGCCAAGCCCGAATGCCGGGACAGTTCACGAAGCAGGATGCTTCTCATGACACCAAAACCGAAGATGCTCAGTTACTCAACAGAGAACTATACAATCAAAAGGTTATTTAGGGCGTAGAGGTTTAGGGGTTTAGGAGTTTAGGGTTTAGGGCTTAGGACCCCAAGACTGCAAGATGCAGTTCCCGCGATGCCTTGGCTCTCCTCAGCAGGGTTGGCATGGGTTTGGGTTCACAGGTCAGGGAAGCTTCGGGCCAGGGGGCAGGTTGGCTAGCTAACTGGCTACCTACATACGCACATAGATACATACATAGAGACGTAGATACATGGATACATACCCAGGTACATAGATACATACATAGAGAAAAGCTATACATACATATATGAATACATACATACAAACATAGATACATTCATTCATTCATACATTGGAACCCTGAAACGGCAAACCCTGCATGGCTTTCCCCTCCTACCCTGCATGGTTTAGGGTTAAAGGTTCAGCGTACAAACCGTCAAACCCGAAGCTCTAAAGCCCAAACCTCTAACCCCAAAACAAATTCCGGCTTCCCGCAATGCGAAATGAAAGATATGTCGGATTTTGAGATGTGCCCACGGGCAAACTAATTAGGCGAGGTTCAGCAGGACCGAAGATCGGTTACAGTTACAGGTTTGGAGGTTTCAGGCATAGGTTTGGCTTTGTGGCTGGTGGAGACCAGCGTTGTGAAAACAGGCTCGGAGGTTACACGGCAGTCATATGCAGCATTAGGCACAAGGATACCAAAACCGGCGGAAGAAAGGTGCCCGAAGTAGGGTCCCTGCTAGGGTTTCTTATGATACGACCGAAGCCCGAGCTTGTTTTGGTGAGACATAGAACCTGAATTACCCTGATTTGGCGAACTACCCATGTACTTGTATCAAGCTCTTGTCCCCAACGTCGTAAAAAGAAGCCTACTCCTGACTTCCATTCACCCGCAAGACTTGTGTTGGGGCTAGCTGCTAGCTGATCCTGCAGCCATCTCAGGAGCAAGCCACAACAAGCCACCCTAATACAGCAGTACAAGCCTGGGTTATGGATTCATGGTTCGGGGTGTACGTACGGATAAGGATGTGGGCTTTACAGTTCTGGGGTTCTGGGCGTGAAGTTCTGGGCCATGGCCGATGGTAATGCATGGCCTTTATGACTATACCACCCTTGGAACCATAATGAAAGTTGATGTTCTCTTGGGTTTTATATATGAGCAAAGATATTCGTAAGGAGACTATAGATTATAGATAAGTCAACCTGATGTTGGAAAGCAAGCCGGCTTCAGGGTCTTACAGGCATTGTGTAATCTGACAAGCCGCTGCCGATGTCGAGGGTCCCGAATCGGTTGCCTTGCTACACTTCTTTGAAAGTTCGATCTCAACAGCGACAGGCCTTCACAGTAAGAGTAGGGCTTTATAGATCTATGCAGTTGTACAGGATGTTATAAGGATACATCGTGTCTTATGATCAAGAGGTCGGCGCTACATCTGGACGCTTGCCAGCTGCTCAGACCTCTATATGAAACCTTGTCGATCTTATTGCTTGATGTTTCCTGGGCATGGGGTTACTGGGCTAGATTGAGCTCTTGTGTGCCACCTACTTCGCGAGCATGAGCCCGCATAGCCGAGAGGAAGGGAAGGGGTGAGGTGGCCTTTCAGGTTCCTGGCATTGTTTAAAGAGCTCCTGGCATTAATACCTTCAGCAGAAGTCAAGCCGTAGAACTCTACATTCTTAAATTCGCATGCCCAACAATTATTCTTCGCGGCGAAGGTTTCTAAATCACCCATATCTAAACCCTTTCGAAACACAGGTAAAGCCTTTCAAAATTACAATGACTGGGTTGTAGTTTTGGGGCCCTGTAAGAAGTAATGTTGAACAGGTGCCTCTATAGGAACCATAGCGGCAAAATTAACAAGTTTCCCAAAGTGCCACGTAGACGAACCCTCAATCCCAAAGCAGTGGCCTCTTGATCGTCTTTTGGAAGATCACCTGAATGGGCCGGCGTACCAGGTGCAGGTTAAGCTATCGATCCCTGAAATCTCAACCACAGAGGTCTGGGCCGTAGTGGTACTTGGAGGGTCGGGGGACTTAGTAAGTAGGTAGTAAGTAGACTTATAAGTACCCTAAACGGAACCCTAATTGAGGTTATGGTACTTACAAGTCTATAAAATTAGCAATTACTAAGTCGCCCGACCCTCCAAGTAGTTATAAGTTACAGGGTTTCCGGGCTTTGCACTTTTCTGTTTGTTACTCTCGCACCCTAGGAATAAAACAAGCTATCCAAGGGACGTGCTGCAGAGAGCGTGGGTAATTTCCTGCATTCTAAGCCTAAGCCCTACACCCAACATGTAAAGCTGGGCGTGTGTACTTAAGGGGCTAGGGCCGCTAGGGCTTCGGAATTCGGGTTTGTGAGTTTAGAAAAGCTCGGGTTTAGGGTCTTCAACTACCCATTGCAACACCGATGTACATCCGAACGAGGAACAGGAATCCAAATGACCCCATGGCGTGGCCCAAGAACGCAAGTCAACCCACACAGTACCACTGACAATCTGAACCCTAAACGCCGGAAAGCCATCATCCCCACATACAGCCCTTAATCAACCAACGACAAACCCTCAACCCTATAGTGACAGTGGTATCGGGGTCAAAGCAAATGCAGAAACATGCGCCCAGAACAGCTTTCCCTTATAGCCCCCGTAGAATTGTAATTAGTCGAGTAGACACCACAACCTATGCTATTTACTCCGAACCACCCAGCACCAAAAACTCTGCACGCCCCCAACCCTGAACCCTGTAAACCCAAGCCAACCCTAAACCCTGCAAGCGCAAAAAACACCCTAGACCCTGTAAGTCCATGCGGCCCTTGGCCAAACCGACACCCCCCTAAAGCCCTAAACCCTGTAAGCCCGTATAAACGCATGCAAACCTGCCACCGAAATCCCAACCAACCCCAGGTAAACCCCGAATCCAAAAAACAAAATGAACTGACAGCCTTGAACTCAAAACGCTTTAACCCTGTAAGCCCAAGTAAACCCTAAAACCAAACCATAAACCATGCCTAAGCCCGGTACACCCAAATAGACCTTACCACCAAACCCTAACCCCTATAAGCCCTAGCAGCCTAAAAATACCTGAAAACCAAACCCTAACCTTTAATCCCTGTAAGGCATATGAACCCTGAAACCATACCCTAACCACCCCATCTCTGTAAGCCAAATAAACTTTAAAACCCCAACACAAAAGTGACTCCACAAAACACACTACATCCGAAACCACACAGTCCCACCCCTTTTCCCCCCTCCACAACAAAACAACAAACACACACACACACACACACACACACACCGAACCAATAGATACATTTAGACTCGAACCCCAAGCCCAAATGCACCTTACACTAAACCCTTTTGCAACTGGCCTGCTGCGACTCCGCCAGGACGAACACTTGACCACAATCACTTAGTGAGTACACTAAACCCTAAACCCTAAAACCTGGCCTTCCAAGGTCCTCGGTAGAAGCGAAGCGTTCACCTCCCAAGGTCCCTCCGATCCCCTCCAGAGGTTGGGGGCTTAGGGTGTAGGCTCTTTGGTGCGTTCTAGGGGTTTAAGAATTTTGTTAGGAACTGTTGAATTTCAGGGTCTGGCGTGATTTTCGACAGATTTACGAGCTGTTGAAGGCTTTTTGTGTTGAACTTTTTATGACGATGTCTGATTGTTGAAGAGTTTGCAGGATTTCCAGCCTTTCTACCCGTTTGTTGAAGGATATAGCGCTTCATGGTGCTCGGTGTTTTGACTCGAGCAGCTTTTGTTGGATGTTCAGGGGACTTTGCAAAAAAGGGTTCCTTAAAAGTGTTCTCTAAGGGGATCCCCATAAGTGAGGGTCTAGTTGTATAAACGACGGTACCTGTACCTCGACTTGCTAAGTCCCCTGATCCTCCAAGTAGGGCCCCAGTGCTTAGCACGAAAGAGACTGCAGAAAATGACAGGCCCAGGCACAGGCAGTCCTGACCCCAAATATGAGGAGCCCCTCAGTAACCCACAAGTTTCCCCCAGCCCGCCAGAACCGCAGACCCGAACGCCCAAATCTGTTAAAGTCTGAACTGCAAAACCCGAAACTTGGCCCTTTCTGTACTGCACAAAAATGGAATGGTTTAGGATTTAGAGTTTCGGTGCCATTCTTTACGACCAGCCCCAAGGGACACTATCTGTTCTCCCAGGCCCTTTTGCACATCATTTGGTGAGCCCATCGCCTGGCTCCGTGTTGGCATTGACACGGCGGCCGTGTGACCGAAAGTAATCTCCTCAGTGCCGTCTGCAGGGTGCTGGAAATCTGATGTCCCCCTTCGAGAGCTGTGCCACTCAGGACTGTGTAGAGAGGTAGGAGATCAGGCATGAAAGCAAACCCCAATGAAGCTGTTACTCGCACCAAATTTCTACAACCCGTCGAGTCGCAGAATTACCGAGCCATGCCGAAACCACCGAATTGTTCAAGGTACATGTTCAAAGCCCTGGTGCACAAGAGTTGGGGATACTTGAGTTTCCGGCCAGCTCCTCTGATCCGGCTCTGTCCTTTCAGATGTGGGAAGCAAGGTCATGGTGGGAACAGCAGTGGCGGAAGAAGTTTGGTCCCTCCGTCATCTGGACGTAAACAGCACTCTAAAATGCGAAGGTTGAGCTTCTCCAGATCAGCCTTCCCTGTTCCCTTGTTGAAAGGCTTCGATTATAAGCGAACCCGCGTGATCTAGTAGAAAGCTCCATTACGGCAAGTTCAATTTCCTTAAGAAGACTCCAACTGGTGACCCTGGCCACAGCAGTTGAAAGGGCAAAGGACGTCTCCCCACTCCCCACTCCTTCCTATTGCAACAGAAGCGAGCCTGAGCCGCGAACCCGATGACCCAAATCCTGAATCCTGCTTCGGGAACTCCATAACACAAATACTCTGGACTCTGGAAGCTTGAGCCATCGGCACAGTAACGGTCTGGACAGGGTAGCCTGTACGCAAAGAAGGTAAGATACCTGAACCGATTTGTCCTAAAAAATGAACAGCCCCGGTACTAAACTTCGGGCTTATCGGGTCTAGCCACGGACCCCCAAACCCTAAAAACATCATGTTGGAGGGTCACAAGCTCGAAACTGACTCTTACCTCAGGAATTGCAGGGTCTAGGGCCCCAAACCCTAAAACCCAAAGTTGAGGGCTGTAAGCTCGAAACTCTGAACTCAGAATCCCTGACCTCCCGGTGGGTGGGACTGGTGGCCGCCCTTTCAGCCACGGCAGAACTGACCTGCGCGCTGGAAACGATGGAGATCAAGGCCACGGATTAGGGCTTTTTGGGTTTAGGGTTAAGGCTTTAGTGGAAGGGCTAAACATGTGCAGGTACGATTCGATATATGTATATCATATACATAGAGACCCAGGTACTGCCTGGATTGGGTTTTTGTTGGGGTAAAATAAACAGAAGCTTTGTTTTGCTAGCTTTTCCAATATGTCCATGTGTCTTTGAACCTACGACCCTAAGCCCACGGAAACCTCATCCAGCCATGGCTTGACCTTGTTGGAACGTCCAAAAACATATGGCTTTTCTAGACATCAGTGCATTACTGGGCTCTCTGAGAGAAGGTGTGGGATTCGATTCTGTGCCAAACTTCCCTTAACCCTAGTACCCTCAATCCTAAAACCTTAATACCCTAAACCCCAGTACCCTAAACCCTCGTTCCCCTCTATGTCTATAGCCCAAATCCTGGCAGGAGGCCGTCTTCGTGAGCTCAGGATCTGCTGATTCTGGATCCGTAAGCCTTACTTGCATCCAGCGGACGAAGGCTTAGGCGTTGGGATTTAGGGTTAAGGGTATATGGTAGAAGCCCAAAAGTTGGAAACCCAATAGCCTCAATCCTTAAGGTTAATGTATAGGGAATCCCAGCGCTATTTGGCCTTAATCCGGTTTCCAGCTTTATGGGGTTTACTGTATATAGGGATTAGGGTTTACCTTTACCCTGAATAACCAGGGTTCCCTATTATGATTTCCTTATATAAGTCCTTAAAAGGGTAGGTTCTTCAGGGTTAAGGTAAGGTTTAGGGATTTAAGGTATAAAAAATTGAGATTCTGCCAGTGGGGTTCGGACACAATGGCACTAGGTTTTGGGGAGTGCAATATGGCTTGGGCGTTCAATTGTTTTTTGGAACACCGCAAGCCTGGTGAAAAGACCTCAATCCAAGGGTAAAAGGAGGGACCCTTAATAAGGACCCCTAGGTATAGACCCTTAATATAGCTATTATATACCCATTGTATAGGCCATTTTTGGGTAGGGGTCCCCATTAAGGGTCCCTCCTTTTCCCCTTTGACTCAACCCTTGCTGTATCCACATATCCTACCCTCAGCCTTCTTGGTGGTGTCCTTTTCGGTTTAGGGCTTAGGGTCCAGGGTTTAGGTTTATATACTCCTGAACAAAGCCAGATCTTTTGGCCTACGGGCACAGCCTCAAGCCACAAAGCCATTCGACCCAAAACCTTGCTACAAACCTCCGAAGAAGCCTCAACCAAACACCCTCAGTCCTAAACCCATAGATTCCGAATCCCTAAACTCCTCAACCCTGAACCACCCAAGCCCCACAAGATATAACCTGAAGGAACCCCCACACCCCAAGCCCGCCAGAAACCCTAAACCCAGCAAGCCCGAAACCTCAAAGCCCCCGTACACCCCAACCCCCCCCCCCCTCAAAAATCAACAAACAAACACACAAACACACAAGCAAACAAACGAACAAACAAACAAACAAACAAACACACACACACACACATGTGTATATATATATATATATGTATTTCTATTTATACTTGCACAATACCATAAAACCTAAGCCCCAATTAAGAATCCACACCCGTATTATAAACCCTTAGACCCGGAAACCCAAGCAAAAGACAGACAGGAATCTCAACCTCGATAAACGCCCAAAGCCCTAAAACCACACAAAAAAAAAAGAAAACACAAATCTCAAGCTTGAGCAGCCTAGGAGCTCTGGTTCTGTCAACTCCGGAGCGGAATCCAATCGGCCCGCCTCCTTTAGGGAGCTGACCTGGGATGATTCAGGGCTTAGAGGGTTTAGAACCATGAGACGGCCCCCCAAAAACTGATAATTGCTGGTCCCGACTGTAATCTCCTCCGTAAAAAGGCTCGCCCAGCTTTCCCTAAACCCTAAACCTTTTCTGGAACCGCAGACAAGCATTGCCGCTTCTGGGTTGGGGCTTCCCAGAGACTCCAATATCCCTTAATGAAGGAATATTCCTTAAATCATATTGGGCATCCTACTAAAACTCAAGGTATATTCCTGAATTAAGGGATATTGGAGTCTCTGGGTTTGAGCAGAGCGCGGAGGGAGACAACGACAAGGAAGACGACGTAACATCTGGCAAGATGCTAGGGGTCGATTCGTAAGGCTACTTGTTCCATACCGAGGCATAGTCCAACCTGTAACAGTGGAAAGTGTAATTTCGGTGTTGCTGAGACACGGCATGATCTTTCAATCGTTTATCTCTGCATTTTACGACCAAAATGAGCCCTGACATATGATCCACGAAGCTTGGCGCAGCCAATTTTCAGATGTTCGGTTTTATTGAGCATCTTAAACTAAACAGGTGTATGTAAGCTACGTTAGTTATGTTGTCAAACTGTGAGAATCTAATATTGCATGTTGTCAAACTGTGAGAAACTAATATTGCATGTACATGGAAAAAAATATATATATATATATATATATGTATATATATACATATATACATACATACACGCATACATGTACAAACTACGAACACATACACGGAGAGCCATATTCAGGCCCAGGTCTTGGCACTCACTTGTTTAAGGTCCGCCAGAGGGGGTCTTGACTGCAGCATACTGCAGCTATGGCTCTGTCAGCGCGGATCGCCTCAAGAAATCAGGGCTCCCTCAACCCCAAGGCCTATGCAAGCTTTCAGGCGTGTGCACCTTGGCTAGACCTAAGAGTAACCTGGTAATAAAAAGGGTGCCCTTTTTGGTTCAAAGGGGGTTATAAGGGAACCTAAACCCCAAAAAAAGGAATAAGGGCCTACTCTAGGTCCTAGTTGGGGATGTCTGAGTGATTCTAAGAAGGAAGAGACACGCGACCTACTTGTGTCAGGGCTTCGGCAGTCGGCTTCCCTGGAACGGATATGACTTAACCCAGGCCACTCTGTCTGCAACGCTGGACCTCCGAATCCGGAAATCTGCGACCAAGAAATAAAATGAGGGAGTAGAGATCTCCGTCTGCAGATCAAATCGAGGACCATGTTCTATCCTACTACGACACGAGCTTCAGGGTGGGTAGCTGGGGAGCTACCAGACAGCTTCACGAGCTCGAGGTCTACCCAGAGGCCCCATAGTAGTTCCTTTTTGGGATTACCTCATAAGATTCTAATATATGAACCCCAAAAAGGAACTACTTCGGGGCTTGAGGTCTGGGGTTGAGAATTGGGGGCTCAAGGCTGAAAAGCAGTTGAATCGACTCTGGAAGAGTGAGGAGGGCTTGGGCACGCAGGGCATGCAAAGTTCTCAAGGCAACCTCCGGATCAGGAGGCCTTTTTTACCTCATAAGTACACTGCCAGTCCTAGTCTCACGTCGGAACCCGACAGTATTTCTGTCCTCAAACCAACCCACCCACACACGCAAAACAACAAAAACATGGGCACTTCCCATGGACATGTGGGGAACTTGCGAAATCTGTGAGGAGTTCAGGGGTTTGGGGAGCGCATACCATACAGGCAAAGCCAAACCCGTGCAGAAGCCGAAATTATTCGAAGCCTGTGTGCATGGGCGTAGGACAAAAGAGGGTTCTTGAAGATTCCCGTAGTGAACCTCCCCTCGTCAAGTAGAGATGCCCCCGGCTCCTCATGCGCCCAGGGGAGGCTTCGCTACCTGACCCGCTGCAGGCCCGGATTAGAGCTTGAGAGCATTTTTTTGAGGGCCCCTTTTCTTGAAGTGATGCGCGAAGGCCCGTTCGGGCGCGCTTGGTTGACAGAGTTTAGTTTAGGGTTTCGGGTTTGATTAGGAAGATGGAGCTGGCAGGCTGTAGAGTCTCAGGTGCTTTGCATTCCATGCCTGCCCTACCACAACAACGCTCCGGGGAATACGACCCCAAACCCCAATCCCTAAACCTAGACCCGCAACCACAAAGACAAACAAGGGTCTTCTCGCGGAGGCCTTGCTGAATACAGGGGGCCTTGCTAGTTTGAATGAGTAAACCAGGGGTTTATGAGGGACTTTAGAAATGCCTTAAAGGTTCACACTGTCAACCTCGAAGCCAAATCCTGACCTTTGCGGCGCCCAAGTACCTATACTTTGCATGTGCTTCCACGCATACTCTGCGCTCCTAGATCCAAATACCTAAGTATTATGTAAGAGTCAGACACCACGGCCAGCACCCCGGCATAGTGATGTAAGGCATCTCCCTCAATCGACATTGGATGGCGGTGGGCAGACCAAAACTCCCATAAATCTTAACCCCAAAATCAGCCCTAAACCCCCAACTAAAGAAAGCAGGGCAGCAAAGAGAAACCCGGACATCCCAGCCCCAACCCCCACCCTTCTAAAACTCTTAGAGGACTCCAACCCCAAACCCTACCTGGAACTAAAACCTACTATATTGTAGGGTCCACATAAATTTCATATTGGGGCTTACAATACGAGCCTACAATAAGGTAGGTTATGGTAGTTTAAAGTATAGAACCCTTTTGGCGGCCTGTAGCCGAAGCCATAGACCTGGCTGAGCACTGTGATCCTCGGCTTTTCGCACTCGCAGGATCGCTCATAGGGCTCAGGGCTTAGGGGGTGGCGTCGGGTCTTGTGGGTTTAGGGTTTGGGAGGTAAGGATTTATAGGGACTTTCGGGTTCGCTAGGGTTCTTTGAGCATTCGTCTCGTTCAGCTCAATTTGGGCTTGGGGGTCTAACTTAGGGTCGTCAGAACCTTTGGTTTGGGGTGCAGCTTAGGGCCCATTTCAGGCTTGTCTGGGTTGGGTTTGGAAGGACTTGTCAAGGGTATCCAGACCATTTAATTAAATCAAACAAGAAATACGAAGGGCTAAGCCGCCCGGACGATTCCACCAGTCGTGCAGCAAAACAAAACTCGAATCGGCGGGCGAACAACCTCCTCGCAAAAGCCCGGCTTCCGCGGGCCACTTCCTGCCCCATCTGGGAGTTTCCGAAAATAGGGGACCCTGACAGAGTACCCGGCATAGTAGGATCCTTATTATGCAGACCCCCAAAGTAAGGTACCCCTAAAAACGGAAACTCCCAACTAATCCAAGGCCAAAGCCTGGCCAGGTGGCTCGAAGACTCGCGGGCTGTGTGAAAAGACCTCGCCGAGTGGGGGCTTGTGGCCCTGCATTTAAGCCTCAAAATGGGTTTCCAAAAATAGGACCCTAATATACTATATACCCTAAATAGTAGGACCCTTATTATAAGGACCCCAAATAAGGTACCCTAATTTTCGGAAAGTCCGAAATCGAGAGTAGCTGTTTGGTGTTTACGGTATTCGGTTTTTCGGTGGGGGGGGGGGGGGGGGGGGGGGGGGGTGGGTTCTGTTGGATGCAGCAAGCAGAGGACCCTCGCCGTTCACCACAATTACCAGAAGTAGCCATGCTGCAACGAACCTCCAACAGGGTCAGGGGCCTACTATAGGGGCCTTAATAATTAGAATGGGGTTTTGGGGCCCATTGTACTAGATTCATAATAAGGAACCCCCACAATAGCATAGGTAATCCTTTTGGCCCCTACAGTACATGTTTTTCGGAATCCCCAATGTTTCGGGGCAGGAGATATGTAGTCCAAGAGATCATGGACGCCAAAACACCGAGAACGAAGATGGGGTCCTTGTTCATACCTGTAGTCTCCATTGTAGTTCCTTGTTTGGTTTAACCAATTATAATATTAAGGATCCTATAAGGTAACCCCAAAAGGAACTACAATGGAGACTATAGGTAGCTCTGCTTCTAAGTCTCCCGACCGGGTCTAAAGGGGCCACACGCTGTGGAGCAGTTTCCCTGTGAGGCGCCTACCTGAGCTAAGGACTGCTTTCTAGAACCCTTACAGGACCCTTATTCCAAAACCCTGAACCTAAACATCCCTAAACTCACCCTTGACCCTAAAAATGTGAATACTTCGGCCTCTTCAAAGCCCCCCCCTCCCTTCCCAAAAAAAGTTCTGCCTTGGCGAGTCAGGATCATCGCCGGGATCGGGCAGCTTCAACAGCGGCACGAAGCCCTCCTTCTCGGATGAGGGGGTTTAGGGTTGAGGGTTTAGGGTTGAGGGTTTAGGGCAAGGGCCCTGTGTCAGGTTTTGGGGAGAGGGTGGTGGAGTTTCGGAATCAAGGCTCTTTTCCTCTACAGTGTCGCGGCTAAAGGACTTTTGGATGCAAAAAAGGGGCCTTAATAATTACCTATACTATTTTGGGGCGGCCCTTCTGATAATTAAAATATAATGAGCTCCAAAACCCTATTCTCATTGTCGAGGCCACTTTATTTGGCTTCTTTGCCTCCAAAAGCCCACAAGAAATGGTTATCACATCCATTTCCGAACCTCAGCTGCTTCCGGAGCCCTCAACCAAATATACGTGAGTAACAGCAACAGAGTCACAGGGGCCAGCTCCAATGCATCGGGGCGAGCGTGCTCGACAAGTCCCAGCGATACATTCAGAAGGCAGGTGCTCAAACTTCGGGATGTTTCATGCCCGTTGCGGCCTCCAGCACATCGGATGACATCCGATCTTTGCTCACTGTTGGTGAGAGGAGGCCTCAGACGGAGCCCCCGCGAGCGGGGATTTCAGGGTTTCACGTCGGACTTGGACGGCGGGATTCTGAGCGTGCATTGTTGTGCTCTGGTCTAGTGGACGGGGGATAGAATGGACACGTCCTAATTCATCCCACTCCCTGGTGTCAGTTCTCCAGAATAGCTTATAGCTGGGTACGGAATCTTCGCAGAGCCGCATGTCTATGAATGATCTGCCGCGGGGTTCAGGGTTTCCGGTGCAGGGTCCAGAGGTGGAAAGCAAGGTTTCGCATCCGGACAAAATGCCAGGCACACGCGCCGAAATACAAGTTGTGCTTTCTTTCAAAACATGCCAAAACATTTGTGCAAACCACGAACTTTAACGGCAGACTCAACACGAGACTTGCCCAGATTTTCAACCTTACCGAAGACTCCCCGTATGCAAACTGAACATTATCTCAGAGTCGAAACGGTTTTGGGGCTGAAGGTTTGAAGACTAATGTGTCAGGGCTTTGCCGCCAAAGGAGCATCGCTGAAGCACCGTTTGACGGACACTCAGCTCGTATTCCCACTCCTGCGGAGCTTTGGGGGTTCAGCCCAAATTGATCAAGTTTGGCTTGGGGCCTTTGGGGAAAATGCGATGCCATGCCAAGTCCGTATAGGGTTTAGGGTTTAAACTGGCCGTACATGTACTGAAGTGACAACCTCAAAACAGCAACATTTGCTGAAGTCTGGTAAGCAAACAATGACGTATCAAACAACTCTGTCAAGGAAGGTCGAGTGGCCTCCACAGGACTCACCCATGTGCTCTGTTGCGAAGCTTCCTTTGCTGCAAGGTCTTCGGGGTCCATGGTAGGGAGCTTCGGTCTGTGTTGCAGTGTTCCGGGATCAGAGCAAGTAGCTTCGGTTTGGGGTTTGGGTTTCAGGGTTTCCCTAAGGATTAGATGCCCTGGAAGCCTGCACATACAAGACAGTTTCGAACAGTGGTCCGCCTTTGCGGTTAGATGGTTTACATTCCGTATAAACGTTAAACCTCCGGATCGGGGCGTACCTGCTAGACTTGCATGTGGCTTCTGAGTGGGTGGGGGGTCGAGCACAAACCGGAACTGCCTTTGGATCTTGGGTTGCAGGATATCGGGGTTCTGCCTCTGCAGGAGTCTATAAGCCGACTTCTGCACCTTAAACCTGAGCCGATCTAAACCCTCTTGAAGGATGAAGTCCTGTTACCGAGAATTGCTTACCGATGAGAAAAGCATAGTTCCAAGTATTCACTGGTGATAAGGAGTTTCCCATACGCAAAGGGTAGCAGGTTCCCTTCGATGCTCAGCGCCATCCGGAACCCTCAGAGAATTGGATTTAGGGTAACCCTAAACCCTCCAATTAAGTGATTTGGCCGAAGCACATTAAAATAGTAGCAGTCGCCATCCTCAGATGCATCGGCGTGAGGGCATGTGCGGCTAAGGGTGTGCAGGAGTGAGTTATGAGGGTTCATGAAAGATCCCAGATTTGGGGTTTCGTGCTTGCGGGAGACGAAAGTGAGGGTTAATCAGGCATTCAACGTTGGTGTCATTCTCGTGTCGACCGTCGCTGCTGGGACGAAGCCGGGAAGGAACCACATGAGATATCTGGGTTGAGGACTCACTCACCAAGTGGACTCTCGACCCTAAACCGATTAGTCTGGACTAGTCCGAGACAAAACAACCACTGTACTGAACGGGTATTGCGGTCTTGAGCCCTTACTATCCTTTCTCTCTTTGTATCCTCACGCTGAAGCCTCGGGCATGTGGGACTTCAGAACCCCTAGATATCCCTAGGTTCATTACTGACCCCCTTAAAAACAAAGGTGCCGTTTTGTTCCTGAACTTTCTGTTTTAACACGGAGAACCCAAAAGAAAAAGGGCAAAAGGGTACCACTCAGGACTCCAGAATCCGAAAGACAGCCAACCAGCAACAAAAGCGCCCCCCCAAGTCTAGCTGCCTCGGGACTGGACCCCAATGTAGGGACCTTAAAGAATAGAATACCCAGAGACTCCAATATCCCTTAATTAAGGAATATACCTTAAATTATGGTAGGATCCCTAGTATGATTTAAGGAGTATTCCTTAAGTAAGGGATATTGGAATCTCTGGGTAGGGGGGCTTTGGGGTATACTATACCATACTCATAATAAGGAACCCCCCACAACAGTATTGGAAGTTATTTTGGGCCCCTGTAGTATAACATCGTAAAAAAAAAGCCGAAAGCACAAAAGGTCGCAGCCCTATACACCCTTTAAGCCCTAGGGCACAATTATAACTGATCGCGAGGCCGCTGAGCCATGCAGCAGTAAGAAAAAAATATAGCAACGCCATGGTATCCCTTATGGGACCATCTAAACAACAAGCCCGAAATCCTAAACCCTTACCCTAAGGCCCCAAAGTATTTCCTTTTGAGTGTTTAGTATTTAGAACCTTATGAGGTAATCCCAAAAAGGAACTACTATGGGGCCTCTGGGTAACGAACTCTTTAAGACAAGAAACCTCAGAGCGGAATGGGCCGGTCCAGCTCGCCAGCTGCGCTGATGCACGGTCGTACACCTGAAGGTTGCTTAGGGGGCTTAGGGTTTGGTGAAGGGAGGACACCAAAAACAGAACCGTTACTATCATATTTACTGTAGATCCCTATTATGGTAACTTAAAGTAAATCCCTTAACAAGAGCCCAGAAAAGGTCCAGGCCCTGAGACTTCGAACGCGACCCTGAAGCCTAAACCCTAAACCCCAAAAGCCCTAAACCCCCAAAACCCTAAACCCCAACCCCTAAACTTTATGAACCCTGAACCCCTAAACCCTAAAACCCAAATCCACGGAGGCCTCGCGCAGATGTTGGCCTATCAGCTCATGCAGCCGCTCCTGAGACACGGGGAGCCAGGGCTTCGGGAGGAGTGTTTAAAGGATTGGGGGTTACTTGGAGGGTCGGGGGACTTAGTAAGTAAGGTTATAAGTAGGTTATACTTAGGATAACCCCACTTAGAGGACTTATAACCCCACTTATAAGGAGGGTCGGGGGACTTAGTAAGTAGGTAGTAAGTAGACTTATAAGTACCCGAAAAGGGACCCTAATTGGGATTATGGTACTTATAAGTCTATAAAAAAACCAGTTACTAAGTCCCCCGACGCTCCAAGTAGGGTTTCGTGTTTAGGGATTGGGATTTCGGTTTTAGCGGTTCGGTGCTTTGGTTATTGGGGTTTCGGCGTTAGGGTTTGGGGATTGGTGCTTCGGGGTTAGGATTTACCGAAATCCGTAACTACAGAGTAGTGCTTCAGGTCTAGGCATTGATGAGGGTGTTCTTCCGGGGCCTCTCGGTTTTGGGCTTCAGGGCTATAGTCGTTCATGGGGCTTTTAAGGATTACGGTCTTTGGTTTCAGGGTTTTCGCGTTTTTTCCCTCCTACCTAGCAAAGACGAAGCCCGCATTGCAGGGTAACTCCCAAGCGACAATTGAAAGAGCTGTGCTGGCGCTTTTAGGCTTGAGTGTTTCAGAGTAAGGTCCGTTGACATTGTCCTTTGTACCCGGAAATGGGCCCAAAGAATTTTTCAGTTCCCATAGGCCCCAAAGTAGTTCTTTTTTGGGGTTTCCGTTTAGTATTCTGTATATGAACCCCAAAAAGGAACTACTTTTGGGGCCTTAGGGTAGGACCCATGATTCCTACGCACCTCTCTCCGGAGACGCTCAGACACCGCTGAAATTCGCATGGCAGGTGAGGCCGTGCCGCGATTAAACACGGCCCGGGGTCTTGTATACTATAGTACCCTTATAGAACCCTTTAAGGGATGAGGGAACCCTAGGTAATTATACTACATTAAGGGCCTACCTGGGTTCTTGTTCAGGAAGTCAACTTAAGTTACGATAAGATTATGATGGTTTCCTTAAGTCTTTTAATTTACATTAAAGTCCTTGAAAAGAACCCAGTAACCCGAAACCCAAGAAATCTATATTATATTGCCACTAAATGGCCCAAAAGTAATTAGAACAAGTACAAAAAATGTCTTGTAAGTATGCGTTTCTTAGACTTTATGGGACAGCCGCCAAGTGAAAGCTGAGCTTTAATCTTACAAGCTAGAGATGCAGCACTTGTCTTGGCCGACTTCTGAACCCCTCCTAAAAGTTAAACTTTTAGCCTCCTTATTATAGTTCATATAGAAACCCAAAAAGTTAAAGTCTAAAGAGTCAACCAGAAGAACGCCAAGTTGTTACATCGTTGGTGTCAGCAGGAAACAGTGCCCTCCCCTTTTGGTCATTCACGTTTCTCAATCGACACATGCCTTGATCCCTTAAGGTCTGGTTTTAGGGTGTAGGATCTGGGGTTTAAATTCGTGCCTTTGGAATCTAAAAAACTTCTTCTGCTTGCCTCAAGTTGTGTTGCAGGCCCCAAAGTCTGTTAGTTTCAATATTGCTGTTTTGTTTAGTCGAAAGTCTATTTGAGAGTTCCGAAAATCGTGGACTCTAATATAGTACCCTAAATACATAGCAGGACCCTGATTATACAGACCCCAAAAATAAGCTACCCCTGATTTCGGAAACTCCCATTCGATGCTTGGGTCTCCTTTGAAAGAAAGAGCTCCGACAGTCCCCAAACTGTGGTCACAGCTTGTGCCCTTGTGTGCTTCGACATGTAGCACCGATTCCGAAACCCAAACTATGAGAAACAGCGCCTGCGCTGTTGCCGCAAGGCAACGCTAATGGAAACTAGGCAAACACAATAGCTACGGAGCTCCCCATATCATACTGATATCAAGTTCGAGCCTAAACCCGAAAACCCTGAGCGCACTCAGACCCGTTTCGGCCTGGGACGGGCTAGGCCGAAGGCGCTGCACATGGGTAACGAAAGCCTGGTCATGAAGGACTCAGGACTTTGGGGCTTCGACGCTCACAGTCCCTCGAAGCAGGCAGGGCTCCAGGACATGCGATTTAGTGTCTCGGGGTTTCCACTCGCACACTCGCTCAAGACAGGCATGGGCTCCTAAGTCTCCACGATTGCAACCGGCAATACAACAGCAGCTGAGGTCGTACCTGCGCTGAACTCAGTATACTCAAAACCTTGCAAGCCAAAGAACAATGAGCTCCCTGTAGACTTCATCCATAGGGTGGTTCCATGTGCCTTCAAGTCGGGGTGCCAAGGTGCAGAGGCAGGTGCTTGATTGTGGCTCAGAGGAAGGAGGTGGACGCTCCGGCCTAATAATATAGAAGCCTGCATACATAGACGGTTTACAGCACTATCACTGTTCGGGCTTCTGTATAAGACTCCATCGCCGCAGCAGGAGAAAGTTCCTCATATGAGTCTTTCGAAAGATCGGTTTTTCAGGATCAAGCTTTTGGATAGGGATATACTTCGGCCTTCAGAGGGCGTTCGCACAAACGTGCAGCAAAGCCAAAGTTTATACACAGGTCGTTTACTCCACATACCTCTCACTGAGGGCATTTGCTAGGCTCTGAAACTCTGCTCTCGTTCAGAAGAAAAGGCAACTGCTGATGTATTTTCGGAGATCCGGAGAACTGGAACCATAACACCAAAACGCGAGAAGGCAAAAGCACCCAAGAGCTGTGTCGATAAGGGTGCTCAGAGTGTGCTTAGAGTCGCGCATCTACTTCTCGCAAGGAGATACAGGAGCAAAAGTGACATTCAATTGGGAGTTCTTGTGCGTCGGAAGGGCTCTCGTTGGTCGTGTAGTTGTAGAAATACACCTCGGACTTGCGGCTTCCAGGGCTCGAAATCTTTAGTTGAGGGCTTTGTAAGGCTTTATTGCTCGAAGGTTTGGGCCTTTAGGCTTAGGGCTTAGGCTGTAAGCCCCGAATGGGTTTGGTTTTTGTTGGTTTAGGGTTCAATAAACACCGCATTGGGGGCAGCATCTACGTTAGTTGTAGCAGTGGCTTCATCACCCTGCAGCGCAGCATACCGAGAGGTAAAAAGTCTAAATGTAACCACAAACAACACTATACCGGACTCAAAAACCTTACACAAATTATGATTTTAGCTGTTTCTTAGAGAATAAAGCACCCAAAGATTAACAACATGTTTCTAAACACCCCTAAGATCAACTCCTGAATCAGGCTCCCAAGTCCACCTAAGCCGTAAACCCTGCGCTCTGAATTGCGACAGCGGGGCTTGAGGTTTTAGCGCCGAGGGTCCACAACATTCCAGGGACTACAAGGAACTCATTAGCAGCTCTGGTGCGTTTTGGTTCACGGCTCGAAGTTTCGAGCCTGTTTCAATTAGATGTACATATATACAGCACACATAAAATGTTTGTAGTCAACAACTAGCATACTGTATTCTACATACTTGAATGGCTTCATATTGTCGGTTGGTGATTTAAAAAACCTTACGCGACGCTCCATCTCAACAAAGGCGTATCTGTGCTCAAATGAGCAAATGCATTATACGGTTTAGGGTTTAGGAGTTTAGGGCGTGCCGACTTACCGTTGTGCACCACTCATTCGCACCAAAGCCTATGCGGGCCTATACAGCAGGAGCCTGAGCAAGCCGATCTAACTCTAATCTCACCCCATTCCTAGTCTGTAGATATGCGTAGTTTATTCCGGAACTGGACCTAAGTCAGTCCCTACATGCACACTCAACAGAGAGAAAGAAAGATAGAACGAGAGAGAGAGAGAGAGACACAGAGAGAGAGAGAGAGAGGGAGAGAGAGATAGAGATAGAGAGACAGAGAGAGAGAAGAAAGAGAGGGAGGCGAAGAGGGGGCGAGGGGGAGGGACAGAGGGAGAGAGCGAGAAACAAGAATCTATTTACGTAATGATAAGTATAAACGGAGCCCTAGGGAATAGTATTGGTAATCACTTAGGCTCCTACTGTAAGCCCCAACTCAAGCCCCCAATGACCGAAAATAGGGTTTAGGGCCTAGGGAGGGTTCATCGTGCCGACTATAGAAAGAAGCCTGCGGGAGTGTCAAAGGGTATTCCTTAGGTTTCGCATTATACAAAGCTGTATATCACCCCCCACATCCTATTCTACTTATTCAGGCCACTGTAGTAAGCCGTGCCGAGGTTGAGTCAGTTTGCTGGGTCGTTCTCTAATAGTTCGGCGCCCTTCTAAAGAAGTATCCTAAAAGGGACCCTAATTTAGAGAACCCTAAAACCCTGAAACCTGAATTTCGTGAGGGCACTCGCCCTTCGTCGTCGGCGAACTCTGCCCAGGAAGCCGGCAAGGCTGCGTGAAAAGCCTTTGTCAGTCGTCGGGTTTCAGTGTTTTTGGGGGGTTACGCTCTCACGACTCGGACACAGCCAGGCGAGGTTCTTAGGTGCGGAGTCGGTGTGAAAAGTTGACTAAGATCGATTCTCTTTGGTGGGTTTGGGGTTTAGGGGTTTAGGGATGAGGGTGTACAGGTTTTGGGTTTGTCCCCTCCTGCCTAGCAAGGACAAAGCCCTAGGGATGAGGGTTTGGGGTTTAGGGTGGTTTAGGATTCATTTATGCGTCTCGGGGCCAAATATCTTCTTTTACGGGGCTTCACAGCCTTGTTGCGGCTCTGTTTTGTGGGTTTTTGAAGTTTTGGGCCCCGGGGGTTCAGGGTTTGAGGGCATCGCATGCAAATAATTTCATGCAATGAGGTGAGCTCAGTATGAGGGACAACGGCTACATGGCGGGGGTTCAAAGTCACTTCGCTATCAGCAGGGCTGCAGCGAAGAGCACCACATAACACCTTCAACCCGAAATGGCATGCTTCAGACAAGCCTGCTGCTCGGGAAAAGAAAGCTGCGCCAATGATTCCACGACTCTTTTGACCCCCTACTTTGCCACTATTTGCCATTTCAGGCTTGCTAGAGCAGTTCCAGATAGCTGCCTCTTGTGCTTCGGTAGCTCGTAAACCCCAAGCATTGAATTTCGTGTTGCCGGGTGGCCTCGCGTACCGCCCAGGCATGGCTAGGGTCCTCTCGTGGCGACTTGTAATTCTGAAGAACGGAAGCACTACACCCCTAAACCCTAAACCCGTAAACCCTAAACCCTGGCTTGACATTTTGAGGCCCTCCCGGCCTTGAAGGACTCGGGAGGCTAAGAGCTTCACGCGAAGACCCAAGGCCCTGGTCCTAGACCCCAAATTAGGGGTACCTTATCTTGGGGTCCTTACAATGAAATCCTACTATTTAGGGTACCATATAAGGGCCCATATTTTCGGAAACTCCCAAATAACCTACCTTTTTAAGGACTAGCATAAGGAAATCACAATAGGGAACCCTGAAAAGGACTGAACAAAAGGGTCCAGGTTGTCCTAAAATGCGCCATCTCCGCCACTTTTTGGCTGAACGGAAGCTAGGGGGCTTACGGTTGAAGCTAATGAAATATACTCTCCGGAAGCCTGAACTATACTCACCGGAACCCGTATAAAAAAATGAACGCCACAGGGCCATAAACCTAGTTGCGGCACACAAGTCATCGGCAATCCCGGTCATTGGTCCAGCCAACTTCATCCCGACCCTAGAAGGTAAACATCTTCCAAAGAAAATCCATGCCAGCACTGCAACAAAAACCTGCAACAAGGAACATTACCCTGACTACTTATGAGATGCCATGCGGGGTTGCTAATGTTCGGGAAGCTGTACGCTACCGATGTTCTTGCTGCACTGGCGGATAAGTCAAGTACAGTGCTTGTAAAAAGAGGAACACACAGGATTCACATGTAGACGCTATTCCAGTGTCCAGTGCCTGCACCCTGGACACGATCCCGAAGACAAGCTCTACGGCACACAAGTGTTGAACCACATAGGCCACAGCAAGGGTCCGGCGTTTAAGGCTTTGGGGCTTTGGCAGGTCCTCCAAATTTGCTCCCAAACCTGCACATCTCGAGAAATGCAGGATCTTCAGCGGCAGTGTTTGAAACAGAACACTTTATCGTAAACCTCAAGCTTAAACCCTAACCGCCAGCCCATAGCCTTGGAACGGATCCCCCCCAAAGCTGACAAACTTAGCTAAGAGACTGCGCAAACGAGCTGTATGTTCTTGGTACAGCTGAGGACGCCATAAACCCCCTCGTGTTTCTGGGCAGAATTGAAGGACTAGGGAAGAAGGGGCCTGCCTCTATTATTGTTATGTCTCTATGTCCACATCTTGTGATCATGCTTTAGCGCTTGAGGCTGCGGTCAATTTTTCACCTGAAGGGCATCACCAATTGTGTGATCTTATGTGCAGGGTCGAACTCCACCGCATGATGCTGCCAAGCAGCTTCTGCCATACTCAGACCTGAGCCGGACCAAGGCAACACAAGTCGTGTCGAGATGATATATATATGTATATATACATATATATATATATATGTATGTATATGTGTAAGTTGTTGTTTAGTTGTATAGGTTTACACTTTTTAGGCAGGGACAGACAGATAGATAGATGCATAGATAGATAGATAGATAGATAGATAGAGCTTTTGGCAGGAAGGCCTTGGGCGGATAATGTTGAGGGCCTATGGCCTATAGCAGTTTAAGGGTTCATAGGGGTTTTAACGGCAACGATGTAAGACGTAAGAACCTAATCATGAAACCCTGGGCCTATAACACCAAAATAGTAGGATTCATATTAAGGAACGCTAATAAAGGCCACAGGTTTCCTAATCAGGTTGAAGGCAACTACTCAGTTCTTGAGGACTGACAGAGTAGCCGCCAGATCTTCAGCCTCCAGCATGGAAGTGGAATCTAGGCCCAGCCTCCAAAGACAAGCACAAAAACCAAACAGCCTACATTCCTATTTTTAAACCTCAACGCCAATCCAAGCCCGATTAGTTTGGCTCGCAATCGTGGGCAAAAGCCTTGAGCTCCAAACCCTGAGCGTTCAAACCATAAACCCCCCAACCCCTTCACAAACCCGTCACTTCCTAGACCCAAAGCCCAGATTGAAGGCGCAAACTTGCTCTGAGTTAGCTCGTAAGTCCTACTTACCCATAGGCTCCATAGTGGTTCCTTTTGAGGCTTCATATTTAGAATCCAACAGGGTAATCCCCAAAAAGGAACTACTATGGAGCCTCTGGGTAAACCGTAAAGCTGTTGGCCCAGAAGCAGGTCTGGGTCCGGCTCCGGTTGTCGGAGGCCCTGTAGACGATTTAGGGTTTAGGGGATGTGAGAGTGAGCGGTTTCGGCTTGGCGTGTTAGCTGCGTAGAGTGTAGATTGTAGAGTGTTGGGCATTGTTGCGATTTTCGCTGCTAGGATTTCGGGTTTTGGGACACAAGGTTTTAGGATATCAGGATTTCGGATGAAGGGGTTCAGGGTTAAACTTCTTGAGGGTTTGCGCCGTGGCTGAGAGGTCCGCGCGGGAAAATCGACACTGAGCACTATCAAAAGGATCGCGAAGTATCATGCATAGCGACAATATGCAGCAGTTTCGGGCTTAGGGTCAACACTGAACAAGGTGCGAGTAAAGCCTATACAGTCAAAGCGGGAAAGTTGGAAGATTGTTTACCGAGATTGGCGCATGGCGTAAAGCATCTTCCAACTTCAAGTTTGGCCGTCCATGTTTCAATTCTTCCAAGTTTCATGTCTTCCAAATTTGGTTTCGGCAGGATTCACGGGCATGCACAACATGCCTTCCTCCCACTGCTGCCACATGCAGAGCCACGGCCAAAATGCTCTACCCCAACTACTGGCAGGATTCAGAAACAGTCCAGGGGCGGCGGAATTACTTTCATCAACTACTGGAGCTACACCCACCGTACCGCCGCATTGAGAACTACGCCCCCCATGGGCCCAAGTACTGCCGGTATTCACATACAATATCATACAATGGTGGAATCGCTTTCCCCCAACTACTGGCGTCTCCAGGACATCGTGAGTTTTTTCGCCCGGGTACTGGCTGGAACAATCGCTTTCCCCCAAGTACTGACGTCTCCAAGTCGCACCATCAAAGCTTTTTCCACCGAGTAAAACAGAAATTGAACAGATCCAGTCCAACGGTGGAAAGCTTTGCCCCAAGGAAAGCCGGGATTCAGAAACAATCGAGGGTACGGTGGAATTGCTTTCCCCTAAATACTGGCGTCTCCAAGACGCGCCGTGAAAGTGGGTTTTGGCTTTCCGCCCAGTACTGGTGCCTCCAGGACGCACCGTGAAAGTATACTTTCCCTTCACTACTGGCAGAAAATCGACCGACCCAGTCGAACGGCGGATCCGGGGATGCGGGCTTGCCCTTCCCGGGATGCAGGGTGCTGCCAGGCGCAAGAAGTGCAGTGCCTGCCAAGCAAAATAAAGTTGGAATATCGCACTAAGAGGCTTCCCCTTTTTGGAGACCATGCGGGGTGCCGGACTGCCCAGAACGGAAAGTTGGAAGATTGGGTTTCAGGTCCAAGCGCGCCGCAACGCACTTTCCAACTTTTCCGGCTTCCACCATATGACTATAGAAACCCAGGACGAGTCCTTGAATCTTTTGGGGCGTAAACTGGCTCCTTGAAGCGTTCTGGGTGGTGTACAGGGATTGATTTAGGAGTTGTATAGTTATTGTGCTCGTGTCCGGAGATGCTGTGTAGTTCTCTCGTTCAGACCTCGTTGTCTCCTGGTGATCGTGGTTGTTCTGATTTCACTGGTTGTGGTGGTCCTAGCGGTCGTGGGCTTCATGGTTGTCTTGGTGCTGAATCACTGTTTGGGGATCCGTGTTGTAATGGCGGGTGCTCGGGTTTATGACAGGGCATCTTGTTATCAAGATATCCTGACTGTGTCATTGCCCGCCTTGACACTAACGCTGTCCCCCAACAGCCCTCTTTTGCAGAAATCATTGTACACAGGGCTCCATTTGGAGGGCTTTGTGATTATCATGAATTTTCTAGAGTGCAGGCTTTTGACACTTCGGCAGTCCGGGCGAGGATCACGCTTTTCTGAACATGCTAAAAAATGTGTTCGGTTTTAGGGGTTTAGGGTTTGCAGGGGTGAGCAGTTTCGGGATGATCCGGGGCTCTTTTGAAATACAGTCCCTTCCGTGTATGATTTGCTGAATTGCCTATCCAACATGCTACTTTACTTCCTCGCAGCCTCAAAGCAACAAACAAAACCGACAAATCTTAGAGTCTTAGAGATGTCCTCACAAGACCCGACACATTTATACCCCTACAGAACCTGTAAACCCTCAAGTTTGAACGTTGGGTGTCGGGTTTAGGGATTTAGGGTTGCCTTACGCATAGGTTCCATAGTAGTTCCTTTTTGGGGGTTCATATCTAGAATCCTCGAAGGTACTCCCAAAAAGGAACTACTATGGAGCCTCTGGGCAAAGCTCAAAAGTCCGAAGATGCCCTTTTCGGCACTAAGCCCTAAACCCTAAGCCCTAAGCTCTAAACCCTAAGCCCTAAATCCTAAACCCTAAGCCCTAAGCCCTAAATAAACCCTAAACCCTTAGCCCTACATAAGCTCTAAACCCTAAGCCCTAAAGCCTAAACCGATGCGCCTTTGCGGCCGCTAAGTGGTGGAGCTCAGGACTGCCTGGGCTCAGCTCAGAGTCCTCGCTGACTTCGAGACTGTCCTCGGACTTCGACCCGGGGGGGGAATTTAGGGTTTAGGGTTTAGGGCTTAGGGTTTAGGGTGATCTAAGGCTTCCTTTCAGGGTTCCTCTATGGGTTCCTTTAAGGGTTCCTCTATGGGTTCCTTCAAAGGGGTCCTGTAGGGGGGAATTAAGGTTTAGGGTCCAATCGTCCTCGGAGTCATAGACTCTTGTCTGTCTGGTGCTTAGTAGGGAATGGGGGAGTGGAGTATGGACACTATTCTTGGGGATTATATAGGGGCTACTGTAGGGATCCATTACCCCACTCCCTACTAATTCAGACCCCCCAACAACCCTCTAATATACCTGAATACCCACTATTAAAGACGAAGGGCGATTGGGAGGTCCTCGGAGTCATAGTTTCTTTGTTTCTTTTGTGGGTTCTGTTCCTCCTCGCCTGGAGTTTAGGGATATAGTAGTTATAATATTTTTAGGGATTTTGGGTTTAGGGATTTGGACTTTTAAGTTTGGGGCTTATGACGCCTTGGAATCGCAGGTGATGTCAGCGAGTTTTACAATGTTTCGCACTAAACCTTAAATCATCCTAAACCCTTCAAAAGCACAAGCCCCATACCCTAAACCCTAAACCCTAAACCCTAAGCCCTAAACCCTCAAGCCCGAAACCCAATGCTCCACTAAACCCTAAGCCCTGTCTGGTAAAAAAAATCCCTATCCGCCAGGTCCCAGGTCCTAAAAGACCAAAACCCTAAACTCCAGGCCCTTCATTGCTTACCCAAAGGCTCCATAGTAGTTCCTTTTTTGGATTACCTTATAGGATTCTAAATATGGGCCCTCAAGACGACTACGGAGCCTATGGGTAGCGGCTCGAAGGACGAGGTGTGGCTCCGTCGTGTGCAGGGCTCACGGGTTGCTAAGGGCCTCGAGCCATCTTAAGCCTAAACCCCACGTCAGCATTAAGGGCTTCAGGGAAACAATGACTCCCTGATTGCACAGGTCTGAGAACTCAAGTTTAAACTGACAGCGTCTCAACTCCTCAGATTCAAGACTTTTCGCTTGTTTTGCAACCCGCTTCAGACCAAACAAGAACTGGCAATCACTGCCGTATGCCAACAAACCTTGCCACTCCCATCGCTTGAACCCTCAAGCCCCAAGCCCTTTATGGGAGTTTCCGAAAATAGGGGACCCTAAGAAAAGTACCCTAAACAATCGGAGCCTTATTAGAAGGACCCTAAAATAAGGTACCCCTAATTTTCGGAAACTCCCTTATTCATTCTAGCAGCTAAAGCAGCTCATGCACGAAGCGCTAAAGCCCGAGCCCAAGCTGCAAAGCCGTAGACCCTGAATTGAGAGAGCCCTGCGCCCGTCTGGCATCCGGGGTACGTCCGAATCCGGATGTCCTGGCGCCATTCCAGGTCCCTGCAGGATCCCTCCATGGGTCTCTGCCACTTGATGCTGAAAAAGTTGCGGTTTAGGGTTTTGGGACCGGGGCTCACTGGGGGCCATGTTGTAGCATGGGGGTGGTCGTTAGAGTAACAACAGCAACTAGGCTAGAAGTCGTAAAGTGTTGCAAAGCAATTCCCGAAACCCTCCAAACCATGAATCAACAGCTAACTGACTGGCAGGCCGCTATTGGGCTTTCATTCAGACGGGACCCAACATAGATCCTACATAGCACTACACCCCAAACCCGAAAACATCCCCCAATACAAAGATCCTGAGCACAAGAACTCACAAACCTTCTTTTGCATCAGAAGCCGTGGAGCTGTGCAGAACTGCATCAGGTTCAGCAGAAGTAGAAACGGCAGACGGCTGAGTTATGAGTGTTCAGGACCTCTTTTGTTTATAGAGCTTAACTAGTTCATTGTTGGGATAGGATTAAAATGTACATTGTTATTCATTGTTGGGTTCAAGTACCCATAAAAATCTGAAATGTTACCCAATTATGACAAAGTTAACTCAGGTAGAAGCAACATGATAGTAATCACGGGGTTCGATTGCATCTAGTCTTGATGCCAGAAATTGAAACTTGAAACGCATCAGTCCCAATCTGCTGCGAATGAATGCCGAAGCAGCCACTGCTGCGAACCGTGGGAGATCACATATCATACGAATAGCTGCCGGGTCGCATGCATCGCAGCGTCCATTGGGCCGTGAAGCTCAAAAGTGTTCCAGAGACTCTAATGTGCCGCCAATATCTTCGTGACGGATCCTTTGAGGATTCATTCGGAATGAACTTGCAAAAATCTATCTTTAGCTCAGATTTCCGACAAATAATCATGTCTGATACATTCAGATACTTGCAGCCCTAGTTCTTGCTATCCATCAAGCTTCAAGCATTTCTGGACTCAAACAAACGACATTAAACTTATTGGGATCCCTGGTAAGTGTATATGGAACCCCACCAAAGGACCTGCCCGTGGCTTCGGCGTACGGCTATCGGAGTCTCCCGGGCATGCGAATTGGAGCGCCCAGACCCCCAGGCTGGATTCCAACGGAGCCCAACAGCTAGTTCAGGGTTTAGGGGTTTAGGGCTTTAGGGTCTATAGAGTCTAGGGGATTAGGCTTGGGGGGTTAGGGTTTAGGGTTTAGGGGGAACAGTCCTTAAACAAACCAAGTAGGGAGGAGGGATTCAGCTGTCCATCTCCAAACCCTGTAATCTCCTAACGGAACCTCATCCTGTTACCCACTGGGCTCAAGTCTAGCCAGTTTCCACCACACCTCCATCGTATTGACTGAGGAGCAGGAAACCCATAATCCTTACGCACACCCTAATCCTAGTCCTAAACCCTAAACCCCACATCAGCCCGATGTTGAGAACTTCCTCTCAGGCAAGGGCTCATATTACATGGCTTTTGATCCGAAAGACCTTGTCACATTAGAGGTTTCGGGTTGGGGGTTTAGGGAGGCTTGAGTTTTGTGTAATATGGGGCTGAGCACTAAACCCCTAAACCCCTCCTGGGCCTCCTGGGCTAGTTTGAACTTGGGAACTCTTCGGGCGTCCGTGATTGAATCGACCAAGAAGGATCACCCGACTCGGCTGCACCAATTCCTGCCCAGCAGGTGTCCTGTTTCTCAGTTTAGGGCTTTAGGTCTCAAGGCTTTGCGAGAATGGGTCTTGGGGTTTAGACTTTCGGTGTTGCAAGTCTGAAGGTGTGGCTTAAACTCTGAGCCAGCCAAACCATTGACGTCTTCACATTAAATCCTTGAACCTTACAGACCCCTAGGCTCCAAACCCTACAAACCTTCGACTGTTGAGAGGATTCTACTTAAAGGTTCAGGGAAACAGGTACTAGTGATACGGTGGATGGAGGAAATCTTGAACCACCTAGACACACTGCTTCGAGTACACATCCAAGCCACAACCCAGCGCCCCCTTTTTAGCATTGACGACAGATCTCTTGGGGCTGTGCAAGGTTTATGTCACTGGAAAGATTTTGTGGACCCCGTGTTCGTAGCAATGTTAAGAAGGAGGTCCGGGGTGAAGCTACATAACATATCTTAAAAGCGGTGCAAGATTTCCTCCATCCACAGTAAAACTAAGGTAAAGGTACGATGATTTATCGCCCCAAGTTAAGGCACATATAACAGTACGAACTAAGTCACATGTACCTCCAAGTACCAACCCCCCCTAAACCCTAAACCCTAAACTTATGTACCCTAAACCCTAAACTCTTAAGCCCTATACCCTAAACTGTTAAACCCTAAACCCTGAACTGTGAAACCCTAACCCCCCCCCTGCATTTCCCTCAAGACCTTACTCTCCCAACTTGCTTGGAGTGCCCGACTCGAGTGTAGCGCCGAAAGTCTAAAGCCTACCCTGCAGCCGAGAAGACCCACAGTACCTTTTTAAGGCTCCTTGCTATGGGTTTAGGGTTTATGGTTCAAGTCTCCTTATTATGGTTTTTCTATATATATATATATATATATATATATATATATAGAAATAGAAATTGTAGTTCCTTAAAGGCTGCGGTTTTAAAGGTTTTTCGGGGTTCCTTACTAAGGTTTCCACATATAGCTCCTTAAAAAAGGTAGGTCTTTTCGGCTTCAGGACTACCTTATGTCCTTTCCTCGAAAGGTTCCCTCAAAGGTTCGGGGCCGATGGGTTCATATTCGAAATTATGACCTTTGGGTGTAGAGTACTCCTGCACCCATAGGCCATAGGAGCCTTGCTTGAAAGGCGGGGGGGGGCAGAACCTTACGCTAAACCTTAAACACCTAAACCACTTCTTTGCAACTGGGCTTGGGGAGTGACTGACCCCTAAGCTAAACCCTAAACCTTGAACCTGTACTTGAGCAGCATAAACAGCAAGACCAATGTCGGCCTCGGCTCTGGCGAGCTTGTCTGTCGATAGCTATCTGCAGGATGCGGCGCACGCTGTCTTGCCATGCCTGCTAGGGCTGCTAGGGGCAGATTAACCAGATTAAGGTTCTGCGGCGCATCATGCTGTAAACCCAAAACCCAGACTAATCATACTGTACATAAAAAAAGGCTATCAGTTCGTAAGTCTTTACAACAACTTTGCTGAATCTAGACCCTTGGCAATTTTATTTTTAGCTGTTTCTTAGGGATTATAGGAACCCAAGATTTTTCGTTATGTCTCAGCACCCCTAAGACAAGGGCTAGAAGGGCTGGAAGGGAGCCTCAGACCCCTCATGTAAACACCTTGGGCCTTTATTGGGGCTCCTTATATGAATCCTCCTATTTTGGGGTTATAGGCCCAGGGTTTCTTAATCAGGTGCCTACATTGGAGTTGAGGGGAACTAAAGGTTAACCTTTTGGTTATATAGGGATTATATAGGGATAATACTACCCACAAAAGGTAAAGGTCTCCTACTTTACTACTAGGCCTATACAAACTTCCTGGGACGACAGAAGGAACTGCCGACCTCAGCTGGGGCCTTCACCCTCGGCGCTGCAAACTGATCTAGGGGCCTTGAACAGTTAGAATAGAGTTCCTTTTCAAAGGGGTCCATTCAGGGCTGCTGTAAGGGCTATTACAAGGATGTAATATAGGGGCCTTAATTTGAATAGGGTTTTGGGGTGTATCACATAATTATTGTGAGGAGACCCCCCTCAAAAAAACAAAAAAAAAAAACACGCACACACACACACACCGACACCGAGACATAGTGTTGGTAATTACTTCAGCCGCTATACTAAGAGCGCGAACCCGCCGGACACAGCGCTAAACCCTAAACCAAAGGGCAGCAAGCCTTCGTTTTGAGAATCCTCGTGCAGGCCTTAGGGCCCGTTTCTGGCATCAGGGCTTGCGCAATCCCTAAACCCTATAACCTAAACTCTCTACCCTCAACTCTAATGCAGGCTGGGCCTATAACCCCAAAATAGTAGGGTTCATACAAGGAACCCTAATAAAGGCCCAAGGTTTCTAAATCAGGTTCCTGCATTGTTGCTATTATTATAGTACCCTTATAGATCCCTTCAAGTAGCCCTTATAGACCCCCTTAAAGGAACCCTGAACCCTAAACCCCCTGAACCCTATTGCCTGAACTCTCAACTCTAACCTGATTAAGAAACTCTGGGCCTATAACCTCAAAATAGTGGGGCTCATATAAGAAACTCTGATAAAGGCCCATTATAGTACCCTTATGGACCCCCTTAAAGGGAACCCCCGGAGATCCAAGTTGCAAAGTTCCGAGCATCGGTTGGCCGTCGCAGGGGTTGTTGCCATCGAGATAGGTGTCCTCGAGCTTTCGGGATCAGGGTTTTAGGATTTTAGTTTAGGGAGTACCTGTAACCCAAAAGACCTACCTTTTGGTGAACTATAGGAACCATAATAAGAAACCCCAAAAAGGTACTGGTAGGTCCTTTGGCCTACAGGTAGGGTTTATAGGGTTCAGGGATTAGGGCCATCGGGATTCGCGCTTTGGATTTAAGGCCAGGCTCTAAACACGATTCGAGCTATGTTGCATACTTCGCAAGCACGACAGGGACTGGGGTGTAAGGTTTTGTGTGTAGGATTATTCGTCATGTACAATAGGACGAGAACAAATTTACATCACGACTAGTTATTGCCCTATGTCAGTCTAGACATACTACGGCCTTTTCGCACAGACTTGTATATGCCCACCTGCGCCTGGATCTCAGAGCCGCTGCACCCGTGTCAGTAACCCAACATACTAAGGCCTAGGCCCTAAGCCCTATCATGGAGGCCCATTTGGCGGTTCCCGAAAAGAGCGGACCCTAAAATACTACCCTAAACAGAAGGATCCTTATTAGAAGGACCCCAACATAAGGTACAACCTATTTTCGGAAGCTCCCGTCTGTCAATCGAATCCTTGAGGTTATTCGGAGGATCACGGCACTTAGTAGGTGGGGTTATATGGACCTTGATGATTGGGGCTATATAAGTAGACATATTAGAGCCGTATTCTTATTTGTAACCCTACTTACAATACTAAATCCCCCGAACATACATGGGAGTTTCCGAGAATTGGGGTACCTTATTTTGGGACCCTTACAATAAGGATCCTACTATTCAAGGTACTATCTTAGGGTCCCCCAGTTTTGGAAACTCCCACAACCCGAGTAAGACTTTAGGCGAGAGAGCTTCACGTCCAAGCTGCATCGCTGGAGAGGCACGAAGGCGAGAAGCCCTGAGCGGATTTAGGGTTTAGGTTTAGGATTAAAGATTTTGAGATTTTCGGATTAAAGATTTGAGATTTTAGGGTTTGGGGTGAGCGGTTTAGGGTCCAGGGTTAGGAATGTTGAAATTTTAGGGTTTGGGGTTAGGGGCTTAAGGTTTTTCTTTTGGTTAAAGTCTCGTCTCACTCTCGCACAGGCAGGCAAGGCTCAGGGTTTTAGGATTTGGGGCTTCGGGGTTTGGGGCTTGGGGGTTAAGGGTTTGACACTAGAGCTAGCGGAAGAGTCCTCTGATGGTGTCAGTCAGAGCTTCTACAGTTTCCACTGCTGCTTCTCATGGTATTCCTGCATGACACACTAGTCACAGATTACGGCTAGTGGCGGCTAGTGCCGTCGAAGTCACTGGTCCGGACGCTGAACATCTACTACCGCCACACCCTCTCTCCAAAAGCCTCAACCACATGCACGTTGCCTTCTGCAGCACATGCCTCCTCTGTTCTGGTGACGAAGGGGCTGCGCAGGGATAGGTGTCCTCGCCATCCCACTTGTAGAAGCGGAACCAGTCATACCTGGGATGCGATAGAAGAAGCCCCAAACCGCCACTGGCCAAAGGAAACCCTCGTTCCGCAGACGTCGAAACGGCCCTATGCCGCAGACGGTTTGTAATTATGTACGATCCCTAGAGGCCCAGATGCTAAGAGAAGATGACTGTTGCTTCCAGCAGCTGAGGTTCAAGAGAAGCTCTTCCCTCGCTTTCTTTGCCTTAAACCCTCCAAACCTGCAGCAGAACATTTCCTGCTTCCATCGGCGACCTGCTAAAGTCTCAGCGAAGTTGTCAAGATGCTCGCTGGTCATTGGGTAGCGATTGTTGTGAATGTGCTTGCCGCCGAAGTTGGCCTGCAGACTGCATGGATTCAGAGGTGAAGGCCTCATTTTGGAGTTTTACACTTCCTGTGCAGCTCCGATTTCTGCAAAAGCTTGCAGCACATGCCCCAGAACAATAGGTCTTGTTGCAAGGCCCTCGTATTAGAGTTCAGGCATGAAAGAGAGAGTTGTCTATCGGACATAACAGCCTGCCCGATGGAGAGGAGGTATAGAATGAGTAAGTCAAGCAACGGCTCATCTCATGAAGGTCATTGCATGGGGCCATGAATCCCTAAACCCTAAACCCCGAAACCATGCCTTCGAAGCTACACTTTCTCCGAGAGCCCCGCTTTGCAATAGTTGAACCCGAGACCCGGACTCCGAAATGCCAGCCCGCTTTTCAAGGCCTTGGGGATTTTGTTTGAGGGTTCATGAACTACGTAAGCCTGAACCCCGACACCTCAGCCTGCAGCGAATACATACCAATACTATTAGTAGCTATGATTATCGTAAAATATACCCCCAAAGCCCTGCTCTAGCTATTGAGGCCCCTACATTAGAGCGCTGTATATACCGTGGTAGTCGCAAACTTTTGGATCTTGGCGTCTTGGGCCAGAGGGTCGGAGGGTATGGAAATGAGTACCCAGAGCCCGAGACGGCCGAGCTCCATAGAAGCCCCAAACTTAGGGTTAAGGGGTTTAGGGCTTAGGGGAGGATTTAAGTTCTTAGCCGTACGGCGATTAAGGGGTTTAGGGGTTTAGGGTAGGATTTAAGTTCTTAGTCGTATGGTTATACCAAGGCTTGAGGTTGTGAGAACCTTCCGAGGTCATAAGGTTTCAGCATTCCCAGCTGGGCAATAAGGGGCGAGGTTTCTGGTACAGCGAGGTTTCGGGCTTTAGAGTTGTACAGGGCCTTAAAAATTACTAGAGGGTTTTGAGGATTCCTTGTTATATTTACAGTATCATCTGCCCCCAGAGCATATTCTTATTATCCGGGCCCTTCCAGTAAAGGCCCCTACAGTAGGGTTTGGTCGTCTAGCGCTCTAAACCCGAAACTCCGACCCGCACTCGCCCCTGCCTTTGGGCCGAAGATCCACAAGTTCATCATAATCTTTGCCGACTTGTCTGGGATCGGCGGATGCCCGCCGTAGTGGCTCCTGCGTGCGGTTTAGGGTTTAGGGTCGAGAGGGTCGAGAGTTTAGGGTTTACAAAAAAGTTTAGTGTGGGAGGTCAAGCACCAACTTTGTGAACTTTGGCTTTTGTTGACAACATTTTTCCGAGGCAGCAATGCCACGACTGCTCCGGAGAGCCTATACTAAGTCTGGGAAGTGTGGGTTATGGCTTTGGGTTTTGGGACCCTGATCCCCATTCTCTAAGCCTCCAAAACTCCAAGCGCCCGGAAAAGCCGATCGACAGCTGCATCACAATCCTATATCCCGTACCGTACCCGTAGTCTCCGATGTCGTTCACTGCTGTTCACTTAACCAACTCTGAAGCTTGAATCCCGGACCCGAGCAAAAGCCCGACAAAACAGTCCTGACAGCCTTTCCGTCGATGTACCATGTGATTCTGTCTGGGAGCCACTCCTCGGCTCTTGTGCCCACTGAAGACTTGAAGACTTTCAGAGCCGGTTCGGGGCAACGATGTGACATATCCAGGGGCTTCAAAAGTTCAGAATACAATTGAGGTCCTGTGGCGCTTAGTCGGGCGATGTTGGCTCTAAGACGAAGGCTTCCGGTGATTGGGCTCAGCCTCTCCAGCAACACTTTCAAGCATAAAGCATGATAAACATGACTTCTTCCTGTACTATCTGTACTTCGGATTGAAAGAGATATGGGAGTATTGAAAACAGGGGACCCTGAAAAACCCTCACTAAACTACACAGGGACGTCTTGGGCGCGGCATGTTGCATCCGCACCCCCTGCTTTCTCAAACAACTCCACATGATTAAGCAACCGCAGAAACAAAACCAACTAACCAAATCAGCCGGTGGATGCTCTTAAGCCTTGAACCCCAAGCCCCTTTCGACTTGAAACCACAAGGGCCTCAAACTCTGCAACAGTATCCCATGGGCTGAATAGCCCAGCCCCCAAAATGCCAAACCGTCGATTCTGTATGCCCCAAATGATAAAGTCGACAAAGGTTGCCCCCCCCCCCCGGCCAAACCTTAAGCCCCCTTTTCCAAAGCCCCTAAACCGTTACCCCCAAAGCCCCTGAACCCTAACCCCCAAAGCCCCTAAACTCTAAACCCCCAGTCCAGAGCCCCTAAACCCCTAAACCGTGACAAAGGATCGAAGCCATAGGTGTGGAACTGTGCCCTGGCATTGCCACGTACGTGGCCTGCAGGGCTCAAGGTTTAGGGTTTAGGGGTTTAGGGTTTAGGGTAGGGTTCATTGATATGGGTAGTTCGGAAAAACTGGGACAAGGGTTCCATAAGGGGCCCTTCAAGGGATGTATAGGGCTTTTGGGCTTAGGATTTGGGTAGTTCTTCAAAATGGGGTCCTTTTTGGGGATCCTTAAAAGGGTGCCGCACCAGTTCGGGGACCTAAAATGGGACCATAATTAACCCAGAAATACCTTAGAAGCTGCCCCCACCCTGTAATAGTGGTATAATAGGAATATAATAGGGCCCTAATATAATCCTTATAGTCACTATTACAGGGTGGGGGCAGCTTCTAAGAAATACCCACATCCGGGAATTTATTCTGAAAGCGCCTTGAACCACTAAGAATCCAACGGAGCCGTTGAGGCCTAGAACCCTTAAACAATTAAGCGGCGAATCCCTTACCCAAATCCTAAACGCATTTATGAAAGCCTAAATCCTGAACGACTTTAACTTTTAATCACTAGAATCACTAGAAGAGCCCTATCCTCAAGCGCTCAGGGCCGGCCGAGACACTCTCGCTGGAGGCGGCGATGCTCGGTCGCCACCACTCCTTTGTTGCCCCTTTTTACGACTGGGCTCTCAAGTCTTGCCGGACTTCGGCCCCAAATCATCTTGTTTCGTGCCCTACACCAGAACTTAACCCACAACTTGTCGGGACGTGGGCAAAAAGGAATGCAAAGCTAAACCCTAGACCCTTGAAGCCTTTGGGGCTTAGGGACGAGGAGCCTTGCTACGAAACCCCAGGCTGAGGGCCCAATAAGAATCCCACCACGATCTCGGGCTGGCTCGGGGCCTCAATGATTATAGTCTATAGGGTTTAGGGTTTTAGGGTTTTAGGGTTTAGGGATCAATTGTAGTACGGTATTGGGAGTATCGTATAGGATAATTCGAGGGCGCTCTTCAAGCCTTGACCCTGGATCCTGTCAGCCCTCGAAGTCCAACTTGGAAACCTTAAAGCCCTCAACCCTAGACCCCCTAACCCCTAAGCCCTAAACCCCTAAACCCTGAACTTTAGGGTTTAGGGTTTAGGGTTTAGGGGTTTAGGGGTTTAGGGTTTAGGGGTTTAGGGTTTAGGGGTTTAGGGAATCCTCTCTCTCTCCCAGGCATTCGAGATGTCAAGCCCGGCTGTAGGACACAGATGATGGTCCCACGTGGCACATGATTGGAATCCGAAGCCGTCTTGTCCCCCCTACCCCCTAAACCCACAACGCCTAAACCGTAAACCCCCTAAACCCCCCTAAACCCTAAACCCCTAAACTAGTCCCTAAACCCTAAACCCTTTTTTCTAAACCCACACCCCCTAAACCCCAAACTAGTCCCAGTATCGGTGTTGTCTGCGCGGAGCACGTTGGTCGTCACGGAGTTGGGCCGGTCGCCTGTGTGGGCTGGAGGTGATCTAGCTTAAGGTACCATAAGAAGGGTTCCTTTAAGGTACCGTAATAAGGGTTCCTTTGAGCTACCATGGTAAGGGTTCCTTGAAGGGATCTGTAAAGGTTCCTTTAAGGAGTTGAGGAGTTGCAGCCACGGCGGCTGAAAACTCTGTAGGTTTGTTCTTCCTCTCGCATGTGCTTGGAAGTCTATACCCGCTAGCATAGACTTCCAAGCACATGCGAGAAGGAAAGACAACACCCTATAGACAGGGTTTTAGGGTTTAGTCATTGGCCAGTGCACCTTCCTGATCACCAACAGATTCTGCATCACAACCACTATAGCATCACTGCAACCCCTGACATAAACACTCAGTGCTAGACTCCTTTTCGTAAGGATCCCCAACTGAAGCAACCTGTCCCTAATGTTAAGAGGCCCCGAAAGCACCACAAATCCTGGACCATCTCGTTGAGCCTGAGGGATTTAGGCTACTGTCCTCAACCTCGGGAGCATCTGCCGGGACATTGCCGCGATGCCTGTAACCTCAATGTCAATCTCTCGCCAGTGCCGGAACTTGGCGTCCCGAAAGATGAACATAGTTGCAATGAAATTCCTTGGTGCTTTCACGGCTTGAACGTCAGAACAGACGGAGCGAACTGTGGTCGCAAGCTCCCCGTCAACACCGTACATCCCAAACACGCAGCCAGCCCTCCCAACTTAGAGTTGGGCTGTGTGCACTGTCGCTTCCAAGCTTCCCGTCGATATCTGCGTTTCCTGGCTGCACCTCGGGCGCCTTCATGCGAACCTGGACAGAAGAGCACAACGTGGGGTGTTTTTGAAATTAGTACCTCTGCTTCAGGGGTCCTTGGGTTGAGGATCCTACGATTCATGGTAGTCTTCTATATACACGGGTCCATCGTTTACTGAAGCTTTTCGCATCCGCCGATCAACGGCATCTGGAATTCCTAAACCCAAAACTCCCCCCCTACTCCTAAACCTAAGAGACCCTGCAACAAGAAAGATTCAGAAAGATGGGGACAGCTGGGGTGTACTTCAATCGCCCTGGCAGGGTTCGATCAAAGCTCCAACTCCCGAAGCGGGACCTTCGATTCGAGATTCGTTTTTTTGAGCTCCTTTTTATGTCTGCCCCTCGTCCAGGCTTACATAAAGGGAACTCCAGAAAGTTGGAATATGGTTTCAGGGTAGGATACCCTATAATTTACCATACAGGGCTTAGGATAATCATATTCCAACTTTCTGGCTTTTACTGTAAGGCCTCAGGCCAGGAGGTTCGGTTTAGGCTTTCAGGTTTAGGGTCCTAGACTTTAGGATTCCCTTTTGCCTCGCGCACTCGAGGGCATCAAGCTTAAGGGGTTTTCTTGGGGTCTTGAGATGATACGCTCCGCCCCACCGTCGTAACAACAACCTAGAGGTGGCTGTCAAAACTAAGGTCCTTTTCTGGGTCCCTAATATAATACGGCACCTAATATTTCGGGTACCCGAAAAGGGACCTTAATTTTGACAACCACCCATAGAGCTTCAGGTTTTGCATTGAATGATATAAACGCAAACCCCCGTAAGCTTACAGTCTCACGAACTGATCCTGTCCTAGTGTTTCCTTCATCCTACCTACAGGCGCAGGGAACGCACTGCCTTTACTTGCCAGGCACACCCCACGCACGAAGCATCGCAGTCGGTGCCTCGTAGCGCCCATACCTGAAGATGTTCCTGTGTGTAGACAGTTTGAATCTAGCCGGGGTGTTCCTTGAGTTACTTACCATCACCTAGAAATTGTTGTAGGGAACCTGTGAATGTGAATACTGTATAACAGTGGAATCTGTAGCAATACTCTATATAATTAAATGCAGTTAGACTTTGAAAGTTCATTGCATGAAGGACTGCCCCAGGCTGTCTGTGCGCCGGTGGACCTAGCGGCTTGAGGTAAGGGTCCTGATCCAGTGCCTGGAAGATCTGGAAGCTCATGGATCGCAGGGCCTTTTGCCTACTTCGCTTGTATGCTTCCAGGGTTTAGGGCCTAGGGTGTCTCCACGGCCAGATGTCAGGGGTTGAAGCTTTAATTTTATACGTAAGATCAATTTCCTGCATCCCACCACCCGGCAAACCTACAATGTAGAACGACCCGCCTCCTGTTCCTAAGACCGAAGCCCTATGCACCCCTGCAGAAAGTCTTCTGCATGAAGCAGCCTCAAAAAAACAAGAGCTTCTGCTATCCGATCGAGTGATATTGATATATAGAGATCTCAAGCAATTGCAAGGGTATTACAATGCAAAGCACTCTATTTCATTCATGACAGACATTCAAGAAAAAGAACCCCGGATACCACCAGGCTTTGGCCCTAAACCCCAAGACCGCAACCTGATGGTCTTGCCGAGAACCAGCACAGTTCTGAAGATTCTATAGGGTGTGGGGCCTGTCGACGGGCCGGGAGGACTAAGTCCAACTTAAGTTACCGCCTGCCCCAAACACAGGTGCATGCTTCACAGCTGTCGGGTTGAGGCGTAATGTAGGGGTGTTAATAATTAGAGCAGGGTTTTGGGATCATCAGAATTATAACTATAATAGCCCAGAGGGTCCAAGTGCTCCCTATTCTAGGACTTAAAGCCTTTTAAGGCACCAAAAACCATAAATAGGGACTACTCGGACCCTTAGGGTAAGGCACCCCCAAAACAGTACACGGAAATATGAAGGCCCCTAAGTTACGTACATGGGAGTTTCCGAAAATGGGGGACCCTAATATAGTGCCCTAAATAAAAGGATCCTTATTATAAGAACCCCAAAATAAGGTACCCCCAATTTTCGGAAACTCCCACATGTAGCCGGTCCTTCGGGACCGGAATTCGCCACTTACCAAGGGCTTGTGCGCGACTGTGCCCACCTGCTTCTGGGTTGGCCTTTAAACACCTTGAAAAATATTTATATATAGGGTCCCTTATAAACCCAAATAAGGAAAATAAAAAATGTCCCAAAATCCAACCTATGCTTGCTCTTCTTGCAAGTCTTGTGGGGCTTCGGTTCAACAAGGGTCAGAAACTCCATGGTTATGACTCTTGCTGCCGATACCAGAACCCAAAAACCCTCAACGTCAAACCCCCCATTATTACCTTCAAACCTCAAACCCTGCTTACTCGGTTTCGATCAGGGCGAGTGCAATGCGAGAGGAAGAAGCTTCAATGCGTGCCCCGGTGAACGGATTTACGTCTCTGGTTTGTTGAACTCCTTTTCTCCCAGAGACGCAAGCAGCTCAGCCCTAAACCCTAAACCCTAAACCCTAGACCCTAAGCCGGTGGTCTTAAGCTCCAGAGATTAAGCTTGTGGGTTCGGGCTTAAGGGCTTCTTTTGCCACCCGCATAGCTGACTGACTTTGTCTTGGCGGACTTCTGAACCCCTCCTGAAAGTTAAACTTTTAGCCTCCTTATTATAGTTCATATAGAAACCCAAAAAGTTAAAGTCTAAAGAGCCAACCAGAAGAACGCCAAGTTGTAATGCCACAACCACGAGAATCACTAGAAAGCCGAGGAATGCGGGAAGGCATACGGGATTCTTGATATTCTTGATGGTTGGTTCTAAGGTTCCGTCCGGCGGAATATCCAAAACTGCAAATATATACGTATGAGGAATACAAGGCTCATGAAGCTTTACAGTAGGACCGTTCAGGGTTCAGGGAAGTCGAGCATCCGCGCATCGGTCTTCCAGATTCCTGGTTGAAGTTGTGCGGTATCATTCCCGGCTTGGCCATGGGTTGATCCGTCCCAGTTGCTGCTGACGACAACATCAGCACTTCCAGATGAAACGAAACTGATGGCAAAACCTGGTCTTGATGATTGTTTTGACCACTGACCCGAAATAACGGAGAAGTGTCGAAACCTACCTAGTGAACTTAGGGGTGAAGTGGAACTCGTCACTCATCCTGAAGCACGTGCAGTATCCATTCTAAAGGGGGTACCTTCCCTGTTGTAGAAACTCAAGACCTGCAAGTCGACCGAAATATCAGCTTGCCTCTGCATGCGAGCAAGCTTGCGTGGCGATACCTGGCCGCGTCTCGACTTCAGTAGCCTAGGAGGGGTTTCTTGCTACGGCCGGTCACCGGCTTAGCCTCGCATGGTGCTCATGTCGGGCACGGTTTAGGTCTTTTTTGTTTTTGAACGCCTTTTGCCGACTGCGTGAGTGGAATCCTGGTTGGGAAAGCGTCTTAGCCTCAGGCTACCCTTCACCTTCGCCCTGGTCAGGTACTCGGGCATCATGTTCATCACCGTTATCTTCACCATCCCGTTCGATACCAGGCTCCCCTTCCGGCGCGGCTTCCCATCCCGACATGACCAGAGTTTTAGGGTTTAGGGTTCAGGGTTTAAGGTAAGGCATGGCAAGAAGCATCAATCGACCACGGCAAGGTCATGAAGTCATCCTAAACCCGGAGCCCTACCCTAAACTCTAGTCGAGCCACCAGGATTTGGCGCCGCCGTGATCTTCATCTTGCCATCCTGCAAAGGTGGCTTCAAGGGATGATAAGGGGACATGACGGGTTTCGGTGCTCACACTCGGGCAATCCAGGCGAGGCATGTTGGAGTCTGTTGAGTGAAACTTCACCAGGGGAGTAGTCATATGATAAGCAACACGACGGGTTTAGGGTTTAGGAAGTAGTACAATTTGACAAGAATTCAGACCTCTCGGTTACGCCTGATGCTCTCATCCTCCTGCTCGTGATGCTGCAAGTGCTGCTGTCCGCACGCTGCTACGACGACGCGGCCGGCTTGAATCGTTGATCACCTCCATTTTCATTACAACATGCTTTTACATGCTAGGAAAGATTTGACGCACGAGGGTTGCGGGGGAGAGGAAATTATGATGGTACGTCGCAGTTGGACAATGTGCCGGGAAAAGCTGGTTTGCTTGCCCTGTAGCTGCTGAAACCTTTTAAAGCCATCCAATATGTTTTGGCTTGGGTTTATTCCTCTCAGTACTTGCTTCAACCTTTGATGAGAAGCCCTCCGAGACATGTTGGTTTGGGTTTAGTTTCGAGTTGAATTTAGGCCGGACGGCTAACTTAGGGTTACCCTAAGGCCCCACCGTAGTTCCTTTTTAGGGGTTCATATTTAGAATCTTTGAGGTAATCCCGAAAATGAACTTCTATGGGGCCTCTGGGTAGGTGCTTCGGGCTGCTAGTTGCGGGTTACAGCACTATCTGTCAAGGACTTGCGCTAAACTCCCTTTTTGCAACTTCGCTTGACAGAGCCACGGTTTAGGCTTTGGCTCGGTTAGTCCTAAACCTTAAACCCTAAACCCTGAGAATCACTGAAAGCATAGCCACGTCCTCGAAGCTGATCTGCTCTTTCCTGCAGTTCAACGTCTCTCATACAGTCGCCAGCTTTCTTTGCTCTGGCTGGTTTAGGGTTCAGTGTTTTAGGGTAGTGTTTAGGGGTTTACCTATGAAGACCTGAAGGGCCTGCCAGGGTAGGGTTTAGGGCTTATCTTACTGCCCCAATAAGCCGCAGAAATAAAAGGCTAAACTTTCCGATCCCTACTAAACGATAAGACCGATAAGAACCCAAAAAGTTTAAAGGTTAGGTGTTGGGGATCTAAGTTATGGCCCCTATGAAGATCTGAAGGAACTGCCGCCCCTGTTGGGCCCTGCGGTGCCGCCGGGGCGCACAAAGCGCACGTCACCCTCGTAGAGTCCGCCATCAGACCAGGTCCAAATGGGATCCTTACTTGGAGGATCATGGGACTTGGTAACTATAGTTATAAGTCCCTTAATTGGGGGTAGAAGTAATTATAAGTATAGTTACCCCAATACTAACCGTAGTTACTAAGTCCCATGATCCTTTGTGTAATTGAGCGACATAGGAGGGTTTGGTGCTCTTGGACTTCTCTTGGTTAGGCCTTGATGACAACTCCTTTGGGATCCTGATTCATCGGGAACCCCGGTACAGAATGTGAAACAACTAAACGGACCTGTAGGTTGTAGAGGTTCCCTAAACCCTTAATCCAGAATGGACACCTACCGACAGGTTCCTAGCAAGCCCCGAATTCGGCCGTGCGGGCGTTGTCGAGATCGAGTGGGTCGTCAAACTCCTCAACCAAGGCCAGAGAAAAGCCCGGATAGGAGGGATACCTGGGCGGTTGGGGAAGAAGATGGGCTTACTGACGGGTTAAAAGAAAAGGATGTTAGTAGGCCGGAAAGGGGGGGCGGGTAATTATGGACCCTATGAGTGTTGTTCAAGCCTTAGCAACTACCTGCAAGTTGTTTCAACACGGGCTTGCCGGCGAGAACGAGCCAGTAGTCATTCCATCCTTAAACGTCACCAAATCCTCCTCCAACCAACCCCGACGATGTACGCAAATATATATATATATATATATATATATATATATATATACATATACAAACATATATATATATATATATACAGTCGACTGAGCTCCCCAAAGCTCGACTCTTGTCATAAATGCCTTTCAGCCCTTACCCCTGAACCCTACTACCACCCTACAGAAACCCTGCAGCCCAAGCATAAACACATTGGTGTTTCCGAACATAGGGGACCCTAATGTAGTACCCTAAATGGTAGGATCCATAAAAATAAGGACCCCAAAATAAGGTACCCCTTCTTTTCGGAAACTCCCACATCTTCTTCAGCCAAAGGCTCGACTTGCTCGGGTCTGGGTGGCCGGACACCTTGCCCGGAGTGATGGGTGCAGCAGCTCCTGGGCAGAATTTCGAGAAGGGTCCCCTCTACCCTAAGGCCCCAAAGTAGTTGGGGTTCATATTTAGAATCTTATGAGGTAAACCCAAAAAGGAACTACTATGGGGCCTCTGGGTAGGCTACTGGTAGCAGAGGGCCCAGAAGGATCAGAAATGATGGATGCCTAACTTTTGCGGATTCTGCTTCGATGTGCCTCAGGGCTGTGTCAAGCATCGGGCTTCTTGCCTTAGGGACGAAATGAACCGTAAAAAGGGTTTAAGTTTCATATACCATATAGGGATTAATTTTATATCGGTATAGGGCCCCTACTTTTGAGGGTCATTTGGTCCTTCAGGGTGATTGCTGGCAAGTTCAGCAGACTATGATTTGTCAGGCTTGCATCTCGGCCCCGTGTTCGACGGACGGGGACCATAAACACTGAACCCCAAACCCTAAACCCTTAAACCCTTTTTAAGCACGGACTTGGAGTGTATGCCGGCAGCGAAGCTTTCTGGCAGAGCCTTCCTCAGTCACCTTAGGAGACCTCGGGGATGCACATGTGAGCAACGCAAGAACGAAGAGAATCACTGACGAGTGATGCATACTACAAGGGATGACTTATCTTATCGAGGATTTTGCAATCTTCACTGGAGACGTACTCAAACAAAAGGGCTTTGTTGTGTCGCGACCACATGTGTCGCTGCAAGGGCGCAAGCAGAGCAACTGCATCCTGTAAATCACTGGAAAGGAACAACTGCAGCACCCAGGCATCTGAAAGCATGGAGATATACTGAATGCCAACCTCCCAAGCATCCATGACGTCCTGAAGGCTGCGAAGCGAAGGCATGTAATCACCCACAACATAATATACCCAACCCTGTTCAGAATGAAGAGTGTGAAAAACCCAGCCAAGATGTGTATACTGAGCATAAATGCACTGTAACCAGCCGAGTTGTAAAGAAAAAGGTCGCCTGATGGAGCTGTAGGTGTTATGATGCTGGAAGCCGAAGCTGCCCTGATATCGCTGGCACACCATGTCTGCTTTACTCGCCCAATCTCGGCGATCCTGAGCCCAATGTTGCAATTGTTGGACAGTGGGACTACTAGCGGAATCATAGAGTGCCTGAGCAGTTTTGAGCAACCAATTAAAGGAGCTGCTCCACGGTGCGCCAACATGCTGCTGAAGTGTGCACGCCGTCATCGCTGCCAGAGCCACATCGTGCTCGCCCTTACGAAGTATATGACCCAGATAACACCATTTTCTCTTAACCCAAGAACTAACCCACCTCCATCTGTCATCACTAAGCACTGTGGAGCGAACCGCGCGTCGACGGACCCTGACGAGCGAGTAGGCCAGATCTTGCGACAAAGAAGCTGGGATATATAACTTGAACGTCTGTATGCAATACATGCACTGCCACGTGTCGATCTGCTCTGTATGCTTGACCAGAGGGAAGACGAGTGGGGCAAACCACAACCAAGTACTTGCAACGTAAGTGCGTAACATATACAAACCAGTTTTGACTGACTGCCAAGATAAGCGCCGTAAAAAAGGAGACATCTTGTCATGAGCGGAATGTATACTTTGTTGTGCTTGCTTGATGAGGGAAGCTGAGTGATCATCGTGGGCAAGCCACTTCTTGAGGTATTGCAATTTCGTGGACCACTGGAGTTGTCGGAGCACGGAGTGTTCAGGCAGCGTGCTCTGGCCTTCCAGCAAGAAAGAGTGAGACGCCATCAGATGTGTCTTCTCGACATTGATGGTTAGTCCGAGGCTCTTAAGCGCATCTTGCAACTGTTCATACATCGCATCCGCCACATGCCAGTCCGGTAGGCAAATGAGTATGTCGTCAATGTAGAGGACGCCATATGTAGGATGAAGGGAAGGCGGCATGGTCTGATGCCAACGCTGAAAGAGCCTGTGAATTTGCCTAGCCAGCACACAACTGAAGACCCAGGAGCTGTGGGAACCCCCTTGCTGCACACCAGATGTTTGCTCAACGCTCCACTGCTGATCCATGTACTGGAATTGCAGGTGTGAGTGCTTCATGACCTGAAACATTCTAAGGGCTTCCCACCGGCAATGCGGGCCTACTTCGTCATGAAGGAAGGCGCCCACTTGGGAGAGAGCAAGGGAATCGAATGCAGCGGAAACGTCCAAGCTTATCCATACTGAGGATTTGTTCCACTTCGTCTCTCGGTCTACCATGTGATGGGCCATCGACAGTGCATCCAAGGTTTGATGTCCTGGGCGCCCAGCAAATTGACATGAGTAGTTAGGCACTGTAGGTTGCATTCTAGCTGTAAGAAGACCCATGAACAACTTGTTGAGCACCTCCATCAGATTTATTGGCCTCAAATCACGAGCACGGGCTACCTGGGGACATTTTTCTATGAGGGCCACGTATGTTTTGAAGTAGTCGGTTGGGGGCTCACCATCACGTAGCAGTATGTTCATGTGATGACGGACGATGGCAAGACCGTCAGGTAGCTGAACAAGTGCACGAATGAACTCTGCCGAAACCCCACTCATGCCACTCGTCTTGCCGCGCTTCAACTTGCTGACCGACTTCAAGATCTCGGAATCGTCAAACGACTTACAGAGCTCAGCAGAGGATGCAGTGCCCGCAAGACGAGCTTCCCAAGCGGAGACAGCATCCAGCTCAGCAGGCTTGGCCGAAAGGAGCTCTTCCATTCTCTCTTGCACTTGCTGAGCAGCTGCCTGTTTACCACCACTAGCTTGGACGAACTTGTGGTGCGAGGGCTTAGGCTTGGATCTGTTGTGTAAATATGCAACAGCAGCTCCATCTCCGGCCGAAGCTCTTCGCGTGAGACCTTGCAGCCACAAACTGCGTGCCTCACGTCTTCGGCTCAAAATTTGCTTTGCAAGGCGTGTCTTGTCCGCAGGATCGGTGGCGTAGTGTCGCTGTTTGCAAAGTTCCTTAAGGTCACGGGGGTCCTTGTACTTCAGGGAAGGCATAGGAACAGCACAAGAATCGTTAATACTTCGAATAACCTCCCATTGCTGTTTGGCCGATTGTTGTCGAAAGAACTCCTGATCAATATCTACTTTGTCCAGTTTGTTGGTGGCTATAACCCATTTGTTGCATCTGTTTCGTCTGCGAGGTCGGGGCTGACGGACGCCTTTGGAGCAAAGCAGAAAAAGCTTTAGCTGAACTAGGTCATGGTCACTGCCAACTTCTTTGGCGGGGACTGCGTGGTGTTGAAGCTCTGGCTCCGCGTGCATGTGTTCTCCCTCAAGAGCATGGCGATTGAAAAAGAAATAATCAAGCATCCTGTGACTAAGCCTGCCATGCCAAGTGGGTGTAGCAGGGTGGAAGCACTTGTATGACAATGAACTGCACATGGAGCTCAGTGTCGCAAACCGACTGTCCTCAACATCGGCATTCCAGTCCCCAGCAAGACTGCAAGGAAGGTGCTGAAATGATCGAAGGAACAACTCAAGATCTAGGACCGACTGCTCGTAGTACTGCTCGGCATTGTCACGATGTGGCATATGAACACCAACCAATATGCGCTCCGTATGCTGTACATCCACAAACCTAACCGCAATCCATCTTGTGCCCAAGTAGGTTTGTAGAATACGATCCACAACCAACTTATCAAGCACAATCACCTGACCCAGGTAGCTTTGTGTGTCTACAGAGCCCAAAATAAAACTGTCATGCAAATCCGACTCACTGGAAACATAGAACTGCTGCAACTGACCTGGAACGTCCGTGGTGACAAGTTCGCCCAAACCACCAACTTCCTGAAGACAAAGAAAATCACAACCAAACCCAACAGTAGTCATCCAATCACCTAGGTGCTCCAAGCCCTTTCCTTGCAGGTTCCAAGTACCAAATTCCAGCATAAACACCGATTGGCTCGTCAGGCCAGCCTGAGTTCAGATGGTTGCTTCGTGAAGTTTCGGTTCGATCATGTTGATGGGTTGAGCCGTGTCTGCCTCGAGCACCGACAGGTTGACGACGAGCTTGGCCGTCTCACCCTGATCTCCCTGGTACGTGATCGTGGTGTAACGCTCATGCGGCTGCATGTTCAGCTGATGGACCGTTGCTGCTAGCACGCGTCGTTCCTTCAGCCAAATAAGCTGTCGACTCCAGTCTACATCGTCAGAGCTGATCTGCGTGGGGTTCGTTGTCTTCAAGTCACAAACAGACTGTAGCTTGTGCCATGCATACCGAGTGGCCTTATTCTTCATCCTGGTCTCCAGCGGCCTGGAAGGGCGGAGCCATAGCGCCTCTCCCCCGGCAGGGGTGATGCTCTTTGCATACTTCTGCTGTAGTTCGTAGAAGCGGGTTCTTGCCTCCGATGGTGGCAGCGGTGGCAGGTAAGCATGGCTTGTGCTCGCCCTTTTGCCATAGATGACGAGCTTCTGGACGGTGACCTCTGTCATGCGCCTGAGCACCTCCCAGCTATCATCCTCAATCGTGCGACGGGCAGTGTCCTTGGGCCATCCCCCCAGAACTATGTGATTGAAGTCCGTCTCATCACTGCCAAATCTGACGAAAGGAGTTGTGGGCCTGAAGAAGGAGGAAGTGGAAGGAGCAGCATACGCCGAACCTGCCAAGCCGGGTGGCTTGCCCACTGGCCCAGCAGACTGTGCTGAATCCACCTGCCCGTTTTGCAGCGCCTTGACGTCCTTCCTCATGTCATCCAGCTGCTGTTGTAACACGGCGGCTCTCTCATCCGACTGCTTCACTATCTCTGCCATCCTCTGCTGGTTGCGTCTATCCACATCTCCAATTTGGTCCTGAAGGGCACTGGTGTTGACGGCGATCCTGTTCACTTGCTCTGTCAAGGAATTCGTGAGGGCAAGGGCCCACGAGGGTGCAGTCTCCATCTCCTTCTTTGCCAAGAGTCTAGCTAGCTCTGCATCTGCACTAGTGGGATCTTGCTCGGTTGTGGGAACCAAACTCCTCTCATGTGCTAGCTGATCCAGGTTTGCTCTCTGCCTTTTGGCTGGAGACTCATCACCAGCCATGGGTACTAAAGGCAGCGTTTCCGCATCCTCAAGTTCAGCGTCATCGCCGGAAGGCACAGGAAGAGCTGCTGCATCCGTCTCCATCCCAGAGCTGGAGCACCCCTAAACCCCAAACCCGAAAACCCTAAACCACACGCTCGGACTCCTGCGTGTGTCGCTGAAGAGGAGGAGGGCGCCGGCGATGGCAGTGCTCTAGCACTGCAGATGGCGAAGTCAGCGCAGCAGTTGCCGTAGCCCTGTTTAGGTTTTAAGCTTAGCCGGGTGGGTAGTTCTGCAGATTGCTGCCATTGCATGTTCTGCCAGTGAGACTTTTGCTCCTGAATGCCCCATGAAGAAACTTCTTTACGTCGCTCACATAAGCAGAGATAAGGATTCAAACCACTCCTGACCTGGTGTCGCGCTCGTGCAAAGTCTTGTGTTGAGGCAATGATACGAGTTTTAGGCAGCATGCATGTATGTATGCATGTATAGAGAGAGAGAGAGAGAGAGAGAGAGAGAGAGAGAGAGAGAGAGAGAGAGAGAGGGAGAGACAGACAAAAAAGAAAGAGAGAGCGATGTGGCTCGGGGATGATGTAATGCTTCAATGCTTGTACAACACAAAGGACACACCCTGCGACGATTGCGCAAAGACACTGCTGGCGGGCTTTGGGGTAAATGGTGCTTCAGCCCTGCCTGACCAACCCCAACATGCGTCCTTTTTAGCTGCATGTTATAACATGCCAAGCCTCATGTGCCACTTTAGAGCCCGCACCGCACACTATTTGAGGATGCACTGCAGCATCTTCCTCTCCCACATTGTGTTCCTTCAGAAACACTACGGCACAGTACTATTTAGGATAATGAGAGGTTGAGGCTTTAAGTAATTTAGTTCGGCCTGAATACTACTGATGGGGTTTAGAGCATAGGGATGCATACCCCAAATGTTTTCAATGCCAAGGAGAATAAACAAATCCAAGCCCTTCCCCCTAAAGTCGTAACATCGGACCTGGCATTTGTCGTTGCACTGGCACCTGTGGTGCCGTTTGTACGACGATGGACAGCCATAATGCCTTGGACCCGAGTGCTTTGCCATGGGCCCAGACTGTCGGGTGCACGGTCATGTGAATCCGTGAAGCCGGTAGCACGGGCTGCACTGCAGAATACCATGCCCTATAAGCCCCGATCCCAAGCACAAACACTGTATAAAGTCTGCAAAAGCCACCTGCAGCTGCCCCAAGAAGAGCCCAGCGAGCCCTTGCCATCGTCAGCTCGTGAGCTACGGCTTCAGGTTTGGGGTCCGGGAGATATAAGTGTAGGGTTGTACAAGGTTTCTAGACAGGTCACAAGGACAAAGCCTGATCTTGATGGGTTGCTGGTCTCTGGTTTGAGGGGTCGGCGATTCAGAAGAGGTTGGAGGGTCCAGGGTTTGTTGAGGGGTCTGCGGATTCAAGGACTTGGTGAGACCCTTTAGGGTTTAGGGTTTGGGGTTTAGGGTTTTGTTCAACCTCTACGTAAGTTCTAGACCAACCCTACAACCCTAAGCCTGAATACCTCAACCCCAAAAAGAACAAAGTCTCAAAAGCATTTGGGTTGGAGTGTGAACCTGGGACTTGACACGGCGAGGCTCCCTTTGGGATGCAGCACTGTCGCAAGCCTTCTTTTGACTCGTGAGCACTGTGGCTTAATACAGTTGGAGGCTGCAAGCGAACCGATCCCCTTCATTAAGATTGAACAGTCGACAGATCAAGCAGCGGGACCGAACTCCAAGCCCTGGCCCAGACTTGCCTCCGCGCTGCTGTTGCTGGTGATGTTGTCGCCGACCACAAGGCCTTCGAGAGAGATTTCAGTCTGTACCGAGAACCCTTATATCTCGTTTCACTTTAACACCCCAAAACATCCCTAAGCCCCAAACCCGAACAGCATCTAAAAAGAAAGCTGTAAAATCTAGAGCCCTCGCATCTTTGGGGCTTTCTCTTCGCGCAGCGGTGGGAAACTTGGGAGCGTGGTTAAGAGATTATCCGGCTCATACAAGGGCCTGAGGCCTTCATCCTAGAATAGAGTCTTGAGGATCTTCAGAATCAGAAGTTTAATCAAGAACCCCCGCCAAAATAGTATTGGTATAATTATATTTTGCCCCTCCCTAAACCCTAAACCCTAAACCATAAACCCCCTAAATTGGGGGGTTCAGTCGGCTTTGATCAGGCGTGCGCAGCCGGGTTCGAGGCTGAGAGCTTTGGGCTTCGATCCGTGGGGGAATCTACCCAGAGACTCCAATATCCCTTAATTTACGGAATATACCTGAAATCATAATTATTAGGGATCCTACTATTATATCCTTTAATTTACGGACTATACCTTGAATCATAATTATTAGGGCTCCTACTATATGCTTCATTTGAGGACTATACCTTAAACCATAATTATTAGGGATCCTACTATACGCTTCATTTAAGGAATATACCTTAAATCATAATTATTAGGGATCCTACTATCATTTTGAGGTATATTCAATAACTAAGGGATATTCTAGTCTCTGGCTACGGTCAGTCTCTGGCCCTGGCTCGCGGGATTTCCAAAGCCCCCATGTTTCGGGCTTCGGGCTTAGGGTTTCATCCCTCGAGTACGGAGTTTGCCACGCACCTCACAGCATGAGAAGAACCGCTCTAACTACAGCTAAAGGTCTATTGTTAAATCGAAAGAATTTCGAGCCTCTGGGTCCGGGCACTAAACTCTACAACCTACATGTGTGTGTGTGTTTATATATATATATATATATATATCATATACACCTACAAACTCCGAAAACGACATTCATCAGGTAATCATCTCACCTCGAAGCTGTCGAAGCGAAATGTCGCACTCCTGGGCTTTCAGCTTAAGCGGTTTACAGGGCTTTCAAGGATTTTACAAGGCTTCAAAAGGGTTTCACAAGGCTCTGAGGGTGTTCCACAGGGATGTAATTGTTTTACATTGTTTTTAGAGCTACGCGACAAGCAGTCGCGCCCATAGCAACACAATTATTTCACATAGCCTGTGGGCTTTACATGATACCAGTGCCCTTTCACTTCAGGAACTCCCAATCGAAAGTTGTTGTAGACATTATTAGTTGTTGGGGTACCGGGCGAATTGCTCTACGGCTGCGGGCAGACCCCAACCCTTAGCCAACACAAAACCCAAACTCAAAGCCCAAACTTCAGACCCTTTCCAAATAAGGGCCGGCAAAGTTGGACCCTCCGGCCCAAAACGGAACTGAACCGGCTAAACATGTACTTTGTGTAGAACCCTAAACCCTAAATCCCTAAACTGTCGAGAACTAGGGCTCGGGATTGACATCCTGATCCGGGGGTTTGGATCTTTAGGCTTTGGAACGAGGGCTCACGTTTTGTGTCTGAGGCAGGGCATGGTTTCTCGAAGCATCGTCAAACTAGATTTTTGTTGTTACCGTGTCTGTGTGTGTTTTCTTTCTTTTCTGGGACAATCTTTTTGAAGGGTCGTACCCTGGGTAGAGAGAGAGAGAGAGAGAGAGAGAGAAAGAGAGTTTGAAAGAGAGAGATACAGAGAGAGAGAGAGAGAGAGAGAGAGAGAGAGAGAGAGAGAGAGAGAGAGAGAGAGAGAGAGAGAGAGGGGGAGAGAGAGAGGCAGTGTTTCCCCCGTATGTCGGAAACTCCTGTTTGAGATTTTGGGCCACTCAGCCAAGTTCGTGCTCAGCGTCCTCCCCCGGGGCACAAACGTCGTCGCTGTTCAGGAGCTCTTGCGAGACCTCACCTGTGCATCAGGGCAGCTACGATGCCTCTTGCGGCTCCGGAAACCCTGAACTCATGCCCTGAGAAGCCGAACGCTAAACCTTCAACCCGGGGTTCAGGTTTCACGTGCCTTTTGATTTGTGCCAGCTGCTACGGATTTCGAGTCTAGGGTTCAGGAAACCGAGTGTCGAATCGTAGTGGCGGACAAAGCTTTGAATGATGCTGACCTTCCTAGTTATTGCGGGGCGAAAATGAGGCGGAACCTGCACCTTAGCGGCCCAAGAAACTCAAGGGGCATGCCAGTGCTTGTCTATGTATTTGGGCCAGTCGTGGCCGGTCCAGTGGCCGCACAACTTCGAGGCGAACTAGATCTAAACCTTAAGCCGCAAATCCCAAACACTGAGCCTTGACCCTGAAAGACCAGAATAAATCAAACTCTGACCCTAGAAACGACCGAAGCCCTAGCTTGGACTGTAAGACGTTTAACCCCTCAACCCCACACCTTCAACCCAACATTGGAGCCTTCATGTTTAGACTAAGGTTTTGAGATACATGACCGCATAACAAAAAATACAATCAGAAGGCCCACGGCTTGAAACCCCTAATGTACGAGGCTCGGTGCCCTATGCGCGTTTAGGGTTCATAGGATGGGAGCTTCAGGTGTAAGGCCCGGAGGAGAAGGGCCGAACCACTACTTCTAGGATGATAGGCTGCGGAAAGGATCAAGGCTTTGTACAAGGATGCTGCCAGGCTCTCATAGGGTTTATAAGGTTTAGCTAACTAGCAGAAGCTAGAAGCATCAGGATGGAAAGATATTTCCCTGCACCCCAAACCCTCAAGACCGCGAATCAACCCTACACCCTACATCCTAGCCCCTTTAACCCGCAAGGCCCATGATTCGAAGTGTCGCCTTGGGCCAGCGCTAGGCCCCAAAAGGATGCAGCAAAGGTTTTTGTCAGTATCTGCAGTGCCATGGATCTACCGAGAGCGCCTGGGAGCTACGAGGCTGGTAGTGCAGCACAAAAATGGATGCGCTTATGGCAGGGCTGCAATAAAACTCGGCCACGGGCGCGCAAAGGTTAGCAGTTAGCATGGTGTAACTCATGAACGTTAAGAGTGGTTACCGTTGAGGGCTGTTCCATCGTGACCCCGACCGATCAGCCTCGCGTAGATCGTGCGAGGCTCTAGGGGGGACTTTGATGTCCTTGCTCATGGGTCCCCAGAGACTCCAATATCCCTTAATTAGGGAATATTCCTTAAAGCATGTTAGGGATCCTACTATTTTGAAAGAATATTCCGTACTTAAGGGATATTGGAGTCTCTGGGTCCTCGAATGCTGATTGAAAGAGTCGCCTCATCGCTGTCAATGTCTGGTTGTTGTATCTTGTAGTCACATAAGCCACATATAGTACTGGTCGTGCATTCGTGGTGTGGGCCTGGCTATCAGACCTATCAGATGAGCATGCAAACATGGATTTCAGCATGCGTTCATGCTTCCTCCTCCCCCTCCTCCTCCTCCTCCTCCTCCTCCTCCTCCTCCTCCTCCTCCTCCTCCTCCTCCTCCTACAAGAACAACAACGCTGCCGCCGCTGCTGCTGCCACGACTACGACCACTGTGACTCTGTTCCTCATGATGCCGCCAATTCGAAAACGCAACTTCTAGCGATTGCTATTAATAATTTTCCAGTTATGTATTACTGCCTGGGACTACTGATCAACATACTTCCGCCACTTCAACGGATAAGGAACATATTCTATCGCTATCCCGTCGGCTCCCGCCTCCACAGCCCTCAAAGCCCTAAGCACCAGAAGCCACACAACACACTAACACCACTAAATGCGGAGCCATCTAATTACAACATCGGCTCGTGCCCACCCAGCGGCTCTGAAAATGCCCGCAACGCCTGCAGACAGCTCAGAGTATCCGGCTTCTTGCAAAAACCAACAAGCTTTTTCAAACATGAGGCTACACCGGCTTACTGTTTAAGGCCATACGACCTTCGAGCACACGTTAAGACCTTGAAATTAAAGAGCCGAGACCTAAAACTCCATCCCAAACACCCTGAACCCTAATCTCAAACCGTAACACCCTAAACCTGAATCCGCTCAGACATGCTGGGGATGCCACAGCCTTTCCTGCCAGGAGTCCTGAAAGGGCCTCTGGGTTTCAAGAGCTGAGGGATTACCGTAAAAGGGGAAGTCATAAGGGGACACTGGCACAAATCAAACAGATTCCTCTAATACAGGGGCCTTGATAATTAGAATGGGGTTTCGGGGCCCATTATACTACTTGTAATAAGGAACCCCCAAAATGATATAGGTGATGATTGGAGCCGCTACAGTCTTTAGTCTTTTTTGTTTTTCCAAAAGCATCGGCAATCTGATGTCAGGTTATGCTGATAAAGCCGGGCAACTTATCAAGGGGCTTCCCAGACCCCCTTTGGAGGATCCTTAGTAGTATTGGGCCCCAAATTAGGGGATCTACTTTCCAGATCCTCCTGGGGATCGGCTTGGGGAACGTCCCAAGCCTTCTGCGCAAACCCTCGATGCCGAGAACTGACGACTTCAATTCCAAACCCCTAAACCCCTAAACCCTAAACCCCTGAACCCCAAAACCCTAAGCCTCAAAACCTTAAACGCTTTTCTGGGTTGAGCTTTAAAGCTTTTTTGAACATTATTTATGAGTAGGTTCCCTTCATAAGGAAATTAGGTAAATTAAAAATCATCCCAAAGCACAACCCAGTTTTGTTGGGCAGGGACTGCAAGACCCTAAACCTTCAATTCCAAAAACTTGACGGCCCGAAGCCCGGGAATCCCATCCCCACAGTCGCCAAAGCCTTTCACGTTTCAGCTAAACCCTAAACCCCAAACCCTTAAACCCTAAACCCCAAACCCTTATATAAACCCTTAAACCCTTCAACCCTAATCCCCAAACCCTTAAACCCCTGAACCCTTAAACCCTAAACCCCAAACCCTTAAACCCCCTAAACCCTGAAAGCCTAAAGCCCTAAACCATTCGACTGAGGAGAACCGTGGACGCTGGAACTTCCAACCCCGAAATCCCAGCCGTAAGCACATGTAAGCACCAGATCGTAAGACTTTCGAGACATGAAACCACACAACAGCACCACCGAAAATCCCAACCCGTAGAATCTAAACCCTACTCCCTAAACGCCCCTGACATCCTCCTATACTTTGAAACTCCCCTACCTTACCTTTGGTTCGCAGGGAATGGAGGAATGGGGTACAATTACAACAACTACTACTACCATTCTTCCATTCCCTACTAACCAAAGGTAAGCTATAGGATTATTAAGGCTCCCATATTATAGTACCCTTATAGATCCCTTCTAGTAACCCTTATAGACCCCTTATAAGGCCCCTTCCATTCCCTACTAACCAAAGGTAAGCTACAACCCTTGCCTCAGTTTGGCCCGCTTGATGAGCCAGCCGCGCAGGAGAACTTGGGTCTCCGGATCCCTGGCAGCTTACAGGGTTTAGTTTGGGTTTAGGGTTTCGGGGCTTGGGGTTTAGGGGTTTGGGGGTTTAGGGCCGTTTACGGTTTATTTAGGGTTTAGGGTTTCTTAGGGTCTATAGGCCTAGGGTGCCTGATTTACTTGTAGAGGCCGTTAATGGTTAGCATCGGTCCCCTTGCTATAAGAACTCCTTGGAAGGCTTCCTATAAGGGGTTCTACAAGGACTTTCCAGGGGCTTTAGTGCCTTGCGATGAAGTGGATGATTTGTTAAATTGCTGATCCCTAAACCGTTCAAAAGTCTAATTATTCCCCCAGCGGGAAGAGTCAGGGTTGGGTTCAGGTTGGCTAGTATACGCCCTTACTGTAGACCCCACACTTTTGCATCGAGTATTCCGTCTGAGGCTACGCCTCCAAGCCGAGACACCACAAACCCCGAAAAGTCGCTTTCCATGAAAAGTGGTCAGATGTTGCAGCTTTGGGGTACATCTGCAATCCATGGGGCTGTTGGTTCTACACCCCGGGACCAGCGTTACACTCTCCGAAACGATAACACCACATTAGCATAGCTAGATTAACTAGGGTTTGGGGCGTAGCTATAGGATTTCAATCTCAAGCGATTACCACAAACCCCTTCACAAGCCTGACCTGAATGACCACATCTGGAAGCCCCACAATTGCTCAGAGAACCAGACACACCCAGAGCCTCTAGAGCGCCCCCGACTGCCCCCTAAAACCCCAAACCTATGACAAACATCATAACCCCCAATAAACCCCGCAACACTACTGAGCATCTACTACTTGCCGTGTCGTTCAGACAAAGTCCGCACTCTCTAAACCCCAAACCCTGACACCCGAAACTTAAATCCTAAACCCCTAAACTCTGAACCTTAGTATAGATCCTTTGTAGAACCCTGATATGATCCCGCAAGGGAACCCTCACATAACCGGGCCTCTGAAGCCCCTCGAAGGAGTGAATCGCTGAGTCATGGCTGCCTCGCCTTTGCCAAATCGGTAGTTATCCAAATTAGGTTGCCCTGTGCTGCGGGGTCGTGTTTATAAGGGTGCCATACTATTCTGGGAACCTAGCAAGGGACCCTACCTCTTCTAGAGTCTAGAGAACTACGCAACCTGTCTTTTGCCCCACCGGGCAAAAACACGTCCTCAGACTTCCCTTCCGAAAAACTCGAAGCCACACCCCCTCAAAAACTATGCAACACCAACCTGGGCCCTACTATGGTAAAAGTCTAAATCCTCAGGAATACATGTCTGAAAGCTTGCGGTAAGCTCAGGGTTGCTCAAGGGTTTGGGTGTAGTCGGACAGTGTCAGAACCAGATACCTAGTCGGTGTTGAAAACTGGCTTGTTAAGGATGGTGTTAAGGTTTTGTAGGTCTGTACGGCAGGCCGAAATGGGGTAAACCGTGCAAGCCGCACGAACCTTGGGACGTGATTCGTCGAGCGTGTGGCTTTCGGATAGATTCGGAAAGATGTGACGTTGGTGTCTTAAGGCTTCAAGCCCCTTGGTCCGTTTCTCTACCACTCAACAACCTGTATGTATGTCAATCTCTCTGTCGAAGACAGGGTTCATCAACTTGTGCCTAATGGCGAGAGCGGCTCAGAAGGCTCTCTTCATGCAAGTCTGTGTGCTCTATAAGAGCGCGTCATGCGAGTCGCTTCGACTCCGATGACTTTTTAAGTTCTGAGGTCAAGTGCAACAACTTGCGGTAGAGGTCCAGGTGGCGAGCATTCATGTCGGCAACATTGGTGTGAATGGGCTCCAGTTGGGCAAGCTGTCTTCTCTCTGGCTGGCATCATGGGCCCCAGGGTAGCGTGTCGGCTGAGGTACGGGCCAGGGCTCTCTCTCTCTCTCTCTCTCGCTCTCGCCTCTCTCTCTATCTCTCTCTCTCTCTCTCTCTCTTTGTCTCTCTCTCTCTCTCTCTCTATCTCTCTCTCTATCTCTCTCTCTCTCTCTCGCTCTCGCCTCTCTCTCTATCTCTCTCTCTCTCTCTCTCTCTCTTTGTCTCTCTCTCTCTCTCTCTCTCTCTCTCTCTCTCTCTCGCTCTCGCCTCTCTCTCTATCTCTCTCTCTCTCTCTCTTTGTCTCTCTCTCTCTCTATCTCTCTCTCTCTATATCTCTATCTCTTCTCTCTCTCTCTTCTCGCTCTGCTCTCTCTCTTATCTCTCTCTCTCTCTCTCTCTTTCTCTCTCTCTCTCTCTCTCTCTCTATCTCTCTCTCTCTCTCTCTCTCTCGCTCTCGCCTCTCTCTCTATCTCTCTCTCTCTCTCTCTCTCTCTTTGTCTCTCTCTCTCTCTCTCTCTCTCTCTCTCTCTTTTCCCGGCAGACATCCCTCTTATCAGAGGGACATAGAAAGGGAGCGAGGGAGTACACGGACAGTGATGAATTGGTGTGTTGTGGGTGTGTGCCTGACTAGGTCTTCCCAGAGCAGAAGCCATATGTAAGCACACAGACAGACACGCGCACACACACACAAGCATGCATAA